ATGGGAAAGCTCATTAAATTGACTCAATGGCTTTCTCCATCCTACATCTTGTGTATTCACTTGTGTTTATGCCAAACACTGGCACAGGAAACTACGTTTTCTACTCAGTTCTGAACAGATGAACAAAAAAGAGCAAGAGGTGAGATGGGGTCATTTGTGATGGTGACCTTTGTCAGTCAGTTATGCTGTTCGTGGTTATATTAGGTAGTCTAGACTGTTACCTAATGATGTAAGCGTGTGTAAACATGGTAATTCCAGCCACACTTAAATTGTATCATCTAACTTTTTTCATTGTAAGACTCCTGAAGAAACAGTTCTTCCATCGAGCATTAAAAGTGATGAAAATGAAACCTGACAAGGATACAAAGAAAGAAAAGGAAAAAGGAAAGGCTGAGAGTGGGAAAGAAGAGGAGAAGAAGAGCAAGAAGGAAAGTGGCAAAGATGAAAAAAACAAGAAGGAGAAAGAAAAGAAGAAGGATGGGGAAAAAGAGGAGTGTAAGAAGGTAAGTGCAATCTGCAAGAGGAGAGACAAACCTGTTAACAGAGAAGACATTAACTGGTATTGTTAAGATCATATTGGCTTCAAAATATGGTTGTTTTTTCTAAAGTCTTTCTTCCTGTTTTGGTCTTTAAAATACCCGTTTTACATTTTGGAGTTCTGATTCTGATTCAGGTCAAAACGGAGACTTCAGTTAGATCTCCTCACCTTGTAGTGCGGACTGAGTTAATGAAAGCTTCCTTCTGCTCTGCTGCAGCAGGCACTGATGCTTTGTGCAGCTGCACCTTAGCATAGATGGATGTGTATGTGTGTGCCCTAACATCTCAAAGCGGTGCAGCTGTGTATGTAAAATGAAGCAGCAGTTCTGCCATGTTTGGTGATAAGAATGTCTGGAATGTGATACTTGGTGCTTGCAAGTAGCTCTGTAATACTGGGCCAGCTTTGTGTATGGGAGCTCTGTTATTAATCTCCTTAATGCCTAGTTTTTACAGACGTCTGATCTACATTCTTTACAGTTCCTACTGTTATTACTGTACAAGTTTTACATGTTTTCTTCACGTTTTCATTCCCGATTTATTCTAGTAGCTGAACAGAAATCATAAATTAAAACATTAGGAATCTGCTGGACAGACTCGATGAAGAGATGTATTTTGTCTTCTGTATACAGTGATATGAATCCAGTGAGAGTTAGTAGGATAGTGCTCAAAGTTACCGCAGTCTGGGCACTCCTGAGTGAGGTAATGGCACGCAATCAAAGGTGCAGTCCACATGTACAAAGGTCTAGATCTCAAAAGAAAGCTACATGGCTAATAAAGGAATGAGAAACAAAACAGTCTTGCTGGCGGTCAGAACAGAGAAGGCAGTGTAAGGTTACCTAACTCCTGAGATACCTTACAGTGCTGATGTTGAAAGTTAGGAAGTCCTCCAACTCACTGTAATCTGAAGTGTTATTATTAAATGCAATGTTAATTTTTAAACTAATCATTAATTATTGAACTGATATTTTAGTGGATGATGTAAGCCATTGGGTACTAACTTAACACAGGGCAAAAATTGTAAATTTAGTTTCTAGCAAAGAAGTAAGCGAAGAGAGTGAAATAGGAGGCAGGGAAGAGGGAAGCACAAGGTCCCAAAAGGACTGAGGAAGGTAGAGAATGAAAAGGCAGAAATTGATTCTGGAAGGATGCCTGTGTGGTAAATGTGGCACCAAGATACCCATTAATTCTATGAGAGCTAGCGATTATAAAGCGTCGTACTCTGTGCTTGATCTCTGTGTAGACTTTGTGGTTAATGTCAGTGGAACTTTGCTGTGCATTTGAACACATTAATCCCAAATTTACAGCTTAGTCCTTAGGTACTATGTATAAATAAAATTTCTCTTTCCTTACAATTTGCCTTTATTTTTAGATACCCAGTTGTTAAGGGATGAGGACAATAAGAAATACAGTAAATATATTGTTTTCACTTAAGATCACGTTTCGTTTTTTTTTAATTTGTAAAAAGTTGTCAGACTTGATATATTAAATACCAGAAATTAAAACCCTGTACATGTTTTTTATGTATAATTTGTGTTTCTCTCCAGGATGAGACCCCAGGAACGCCCAAAAAAAAGGAAACTAAGAGGAAATTTAAACTTGAGCCACATGAAGACCAAGTTTTCTTGGATGGAAATGAGGTAAGATTTATGGATACTTTCTAAATTTAGTGTCAGTGTACTGCCAGATTATAGCATAATTTACATTTCGTCAGACGTTCTTGTCCAGTGGAAGGGAAAAATAATGACAATGTGATGGGTTATCTTGAAACACTGGGTTTTCGATATCTACAATGAGATTAGGGGCAGATAAATGTAGAACAGGAACTTAAAAAAAATCTAAAAGAAAACCTAATTCCCTGTACTTTACATGTTATTGGCCACGAGGTGAAATTTTTGTCCTTGTGGTGTAATCAGGTGTTGGAGCAGGCTGTGCAGGAGGTTCTGCAGTCTCCATGCTCAGAGGCTTTCAAGATTGGATCAGGTAAAGCCCTGAGCGACCTGGTCAGGCCTCACGGCTGACCCTGTTTTGAACAGGGGAATGGACTTCATGAGGCTATTTCTCATGAAAATGGCCTCATGAGATTTCTAAACAAATATCAAGCCTTTTAGAACATGAAGTGCAATCCCAGGAGTGGAAGTCAAAAGTATCTGGCATCCAGAGGCTGCCTGACTTTGTGATCTGAGCAGCTGGGTGATTCTGAATTCTTATCCTGGCTTTACCACTGAAATTGTGTGTGGTCTTAAATACTATTTGCACCTTTCTTTCCTGGAAGTCAAATCATTTAATTCTTCAACAGTTCGGTTAACGTACAGAGCCATATTCCTGCTTTAAAGATTTGGGATACATTAGGAACTCTTTACTTCAGCAAAAATAAACTGTTCTCAGCATGCTTTGTGTCACTGTATGGGAATGTCTCCTGGGATTCTAGTAGCCCTTTGGTTATAAAACATGTGGCAGTGAACTCTAAATAAATTACTTGTGTGGAAAACGTATTTCCTTTATGTATCTCTTTTTTGATCTTCACAGTCAGATCTTTTACAAGCTGTCTTGATCTGTTTCATCCCACCTTGTGTACAATCACCCATACCTCTGATCCTCCCCATTGTCTTTTACATGGAGTACCCAGCACGGCATGCAGCATTCAGAGCGAGGCTGCAGTGCTGTATTAGCAGCATAATAGCCTTTACGGGTGTCTAACATTTTTTATTTTTATTTTTTAGTGATGAGCTCCCATTTTTCAAGAGCCGCAACTCCCATAAACTTTCCTGAGTAGGAGCTAATTTAGAGCCATTCCTTGGGTATTTACATTAGAGCTGTTTTTTCTTTTTAATTCTTTTGCACTTAAGATAGCGTGTAATACTCAGTATTTATATTGCCCAGTCATGATCTTCAGTTTGGGCTTGCTGAGCAGTTGAATGGCAGCAGAGCAATGCCTGCATATAGTTATTTTTTATACCCTGTGAGAATAGCATTAAATACTTCTTGTTGCATCACACTGAAAAACTGCACTACTGCCTCATCTAAGGCGCCGTCTTGGTAGTTTTTATCAACTCTTCTGCTATGAGGGCTCCTGGCTGCTAGTAGTCAACTGCTTCTTTGAATCTTAACTATTGATAACTATAAAAACTGTTCAATTTTGTGAGAAAGGGAAAAAAATACTAGTTTAAGAAAACTGCCCTTCACTGGGAAGGTTTTTTCATTAAAAACTGAACCTATCTGATTCAGATGGAGCCACAGCTGTCATGCAAACATCTGGTACTCAGTGTTGCAATGGTAGGCATTTAGGTAAGTGTGCTGTGGTACAGAGGGTACAATACATTTATCTGAGGTCATCAGAGGGGACTTGAGCTGAATTGAGCGTTTCAGCTTGATGCTTTGTTCCATGGTCAGTCTGCTGTTTTTTTTTTGCTTGTTTGTGTTTCTCCTCTTAAGAGAATCTCTTCAAAGCTAGAAGCAATTTTTGTTTCCAGTTGTGGACTTGAGAAATTTTTATAAGTTTTTCTTGGCTCCGTGCTGAGCAATGTTAATGTGTAAAGGAAGAACAAAAGACGACGAGAAACACCTTGATTCAGTGACATTTCTGAATCTTTCGTTTCCCCATCAGCTTTACAGTTGGAATGTTTTCCCTGGAATTTTGTCACCTGTAAATTAATCTGGGAAAAAATTCTTTTATGAAGCAATTCTTTGATAGATCTCATTTGATATTTCCCGTGTTTTTCTTAAACAACGGGGAAGTTCAGTCTCTCCCTGCCTGAAGACTGTCCCAGCAAGGTAAACTCTGCATCATGTCCCGCTCCAGCAGCACAGTGTCCTTAGGCCTCCTGCCACCAAGCTCAGATTACGATCAGTACATACCTAAGGCAATCAGTAGGAGCATGCAGGCGTGCAGCCCCATGGCTGTTTGTCTCTTTCTGCAGCTCTTTCACTGACACAAACCTGTTTCAAGTCCTTAATACTTCTTAGGATACACAACCCCTTGCCCTCCTCTTCTACCTTGATATGGCAGAAATGTTATTTTAACATTTGTACGTTAACAGCCAGAGTGCTGTTTGCTCAGTGCAAAGCAAGATAGCAAGGCACTAAGCATTTGAGTGAGGAAATAAATTAAGTAATTTATCAGAGCACTTGCTTTTCAAGTATTAATCACTATTTCTGTTGTAGGTGTATGTGTGGATCTATGACCCGGTTCACTTTAAAACATTTGCTATGGGACTTGTACTGGGTAAGTAAGAGTAGACAGTAGCAAGCCCACCACAAATGGGGGAATATCAACAGGATATCTCTCCTTGCAGAAATGTCTCATCTTCCTGGACAGATTGTTTTGCTCTTCAGTTTCAGCATGACTTGATACCAATCACATGACATGGTTTTTGATCTCAGGATGGAGGGAGGATGCATGCAAATAAACAAAACACACACAAAAGACAGCTGAAGGCATAGTTCAGCAGATGTCTGAACTCATACAAGTTTGCAAGCTGTTTATTTCAGTTTAAACAAATGAGCAAGTTGCTTCATAGGCCGCTGTGGTGGGTTATATAAAAATGGGAAAGATATTAAAGCTATTAATTTAAACTATAAATAATACCTTTCTGACCCTTGTGTTTGTTTGGTTTAGGCAGTCAGCTTTTGTTTTTTTTTTTTTAAATTGAATGTAATCTTGTTGTTCACTCACATCAGTGAGCTAACAGCTAATTTCACTGCTGGTCCAATGCCCTTGACCTATACTTTGCAGCTTCCTCTCCGTGTGAGAACCACCTTTCTAGGGAACCACTGTCATCCCCTGGGGCCATATTCAGCTCTCTGATCAATCCTTGGGCCACCAGGAGCTCCACCCAGATCTCTGTGCCTGCTTCCTGCTGGACTGGTTGTTGGCAGCTCCCTGCTCACCTTTTTGCTTATTGCCTTTCCAGGGGTGCTCCTTTGTCTTTTGATCAAGTATAACAATGTAGACTTGCTCAGTGTGGTCCCTGGTGTCTGTGTAAGCACTATGAAAACAGCAGGGGAACTAGAAAATATTTCAGTCAAGGCCTAAAATGCTGTCGTGTAACTCATACTTTGCTAAGCCAATACCTTGAGTAAATGGTAAGCCTAGAACCTTCGTGTATGTACGAGGAACAACTAAGCACGTGTCTCATATGTTTGTTCTTATCTTCCTATTTAGTGATCGCTGTTATAGCTGCAACCCTGTTTCCACTCTGGCCAGCAGAGATGCGTGTTGGTGTTTATTACCTCAGTGTAGGTGCAGGCTGTTTTGTAGCCAGTATTCTTCTTCTTGCTGTTGGTAAGTGTCTGCCTTCTTCGTTTTATCAGCAGGTGAAGTCTAAAAGGGTAGAAACATTTAAACATACATTTAAACATTGGCTCAGATGGGTGAACAACCTCAATTACTTCTGATTATTTTGTTAGCAGTAGCCAGACTGATCCTGGGTATCTATTTCCTTAGTGGCCACTGGGTGTCAGGGTTGTGCCACAGAAAGAAAAGTCTCAGGCTTGTTCCACCTGTTTGTGCTTCCTCTATTGTGGAGATTTGTTTACTGCCTCAGTTTAAAAACAAACAAAACAAGAAACCAAAAAAAAACCAACAAACAAACCATAACGCCAGAACATAAGAACAGATTCAGTAGTGAGAATGGTGTAACCAGGATTTTAAAGCATTAAGAACTAGATCATAGACGGGATATATGGTTACTGGGGACAAGGAAAAAGACTTGGTAAGTAAAATAAGAATAATAAATCAAGAATGCTACTGCAGAATGAGAGGATTTTCCTCAAGGTTGCCACTATTGCTGGCTTTGGCTGCCTGTTAGCACTGGATACTTCTTACACCATAGTTGTACATTGTGCTTATAATAACAAAATTTCCCATTTTTTTAAATACAGCTCGCTGCATCCTTTTCCTTATTATCTGGCTCATCACTGGAGGAAGGCATCACTTCTGGTTTCTGCCAAACCTTACAGCAGACGTGGGATTCATTGACTCCTTCAGGCCCCTGTACACACACGAATACAAAGGACCAAAAGCAGACTCAAAGAAAGAGGAAAAATCAGAATCCAAAAAGCAGCAAAAATATGACAGTGAGGAGAAATCAGACAGTGAGAAGAAAGAAGACGAAGATGGGAAAACAGAAGCAACGAGGAACTCGGGAACGGAAGGCTCAGGAGGCGAGCGGCATTCAGACACTGACAGTGACAGGCGTGAAGACGACAGATCCCAGCACAGTAGTGGAAATGGAAACGACTTTGAAATGATCACAAAAGAGGAACTTGAACAGCAAACAGATGAAGGGGATTGCGAAGAGGAAGAGGAGGAGGAAGAAACCGAAAGTAGGCCTTCACATGAAAAATCATAACTCACTGTGGTTTTGGGACTAAGTATGTGCAAATGGTTGGATTTTCTTTGTTGGCTGATCACCAAAACATAGACCATACAGTAGCACCTTTGTTTGCTGAAATATACATGTTACCAAACAGTTTTATATCTAGTTCCTTCATTTTTTTTAACCATTAACTTGATTACTTGGTACTATGTTAATCATTAATATACATTTACAGAAGTTTTATCAATCTGACAAGTTTTCTATTGATTAATAGATTGCCCAGATCGTCCTCAAACATTGAAAACATAGCTTTCTGGTACTTGCATAACTGGTCAATTAATTTCACTTCTCAAACTTGCTTTTGTAAAACAGGTAAAAGTTGAATGACCAAATCTCAGATTATTCCTAGTTATACTCATTTGATAGCTAGTTAGGTAAAGCCCTTCGTAGCCCACAACTTTCTTGATATTTTTCCTGATTTTATTTTCAAAAGATTGTGAAAACTTTCCTAAGAAAACTAGTTTTAGCAGAAGTATTTTGCTGAAAATATGAAAGCTGGTAGTGCTGAATTTGGCTGCAGTGTTCTCTGTTTCTCCAGACTATGTGCCAGCAACTTAGGAAATCCAAACTGGTTTTGTACATCTGGTTCAGAGAAAGATGTCATCTCCAACAGGTGAAGGAAGCAGCACGGTTTGGAAATGACGGCTGTTTTCTTTCTCCTGTTCCATCATAATAATTAAAAAATGTATTCTGTACATAATTTACAAATAAAGCAAACCATTTACTTTATCTGCTACTTATTATTTAGAGATTTGATCCAGCATTCAGTTTGTATTATTAAAGCCATTTTGTGGTGTATCTATCAGAGAAATGCAAGTCAAGAGGACCTCACAGAATATTTGTGTATGATCAGTAGCTGTTCCACAAGAGCTTTAGTTTTGTGCCAACATTCCATGTATTTGAGTATGAGTAAATTGATCCTTATTAAATGAAAGCAAACAACATAGCTGTATGTATGCCTTAATGTTAAAACTTTCTATTTTCTGGAACTGGAATACTTTTTAAATGGAAGAGGCCGGAGAGTATTCATCTGTTCAGAAATATGGGTAACTCAGAGCTAATATGAAGTGACCATAAATAATTTGTTTATAAATACTTTGAAGTAGTTTGTGCAGTTTCTCTTATGCATCCCTTATTTACTGGATGTTTGGAGGATTTGCTGTATGGTTTGATTGACTAAGCATTTAAGAAGGTAAAGCTCAGCATCATTCCTCTAGATCACTAGAGCAGTAACTATAGATTTCATTGTTTCCTGAACCCATTCAGAGAAGGGTAAGCAAGAAATTTTAATAACTGACTCAGAACTTTTTTTTCTATCCTAAATTGCTTCCCCTTCCTTCCAGCACACGCGTTTTTCAGATGGTGCAAATACATCAATCATAACAGGTGCACTGGTACACAACTCATGGGTACAGTGTCATTTGTCTCTTAAATGTTCTGAATATTTGCTCCATAAGAAAACATAAATTGGACCACTTTTTTATTCATTTAGCAAAAAATCAAAGGATCCACTACCCAAAAAGACAAACTCCTGGACCCCCGTATGTTAGAGCTGATTAAAATAACAAAGCTTTTCACTCGCTTAAGCAGCTATTTTGCACTTAGCTCATACAGATGCTACTTTTCTTTGTGCTTGTGTTTCACATATCCGTGTCTAACATAAATAACAGAACTGCATTTCTTTCTGTAGAGGCATCTTCAGCTAGCTGCCCCTAATTCACAGCGCACCTGACCTTCACAGCCTGCTCGGGAACTCTTGCTTTTAACCATGCTGGCGGAGTTACAAAATCTCCTTGTGCTGGAGCCATCCTTGCAGTTCATCAGGTTAGATTCTTGCTGATGCCCATAGGAGCTCAAGTAAGGGTGCCTGATCTCTCACATACGTATCTTTTAGAAGCTGACTGCAAACTAGCGCTTTAAAGAGCACTACTACGCCTTGAACCCTGTACAATACATAGAGGGGCAGCATGTCCAGCAGTGGTTCCAAGTCAGCAGCTGACCTGGCAGTTTTTGGAGAACTTAGTTCTGTAGATTTAAGTGTATGTTTCCTCCAAAAAGTGAGGATATCTCTGTATTTAATGGGTGAGAAAAAGTTGAAGGGACCAAATGATGAGCAATGCTGCCACCTGCTACATGGGCCTAGGGACAAACATCTAGGTTTCAAAGTGAAGCGTGAAAAAATTATATTGTCTCCCTAACAGAGCTCCAAGCTCACACAGGTGTAGAAATTGAATTAGCCTTTACCTCTTTCACTTGGATCTGCTATGAACAACTCTGAATTATCTGAAGAAGTGGTGTGAAGAGACCTGGCTGCTGGTGGTGTCCAGTGGTTAAGTAAAGGACTTCAAGACCCGTTACTGTAACCTAGTATTTGCCACAAATATTCCTCAAATACTTCAGAATTATTTTAGAATGAGATAATGAGAGAAGTAATTACAATATGCTAGTAACAGAACTGTGAGCAGACTTGCAGTACCTGACAAACACTTCAAAGACAGAAAATCCCAAACGTACTCACCCAATGTTTGGTTATTTATCAGGCCACTTTTACATCAGGTATTTCAAAGCAACTTTCTTCTTACCGGTGTTGACTTAACTTCCAGAGTGCAGGATAACCTTAGTGGGAACAAGTATAAACACATATATAAGTTAGTGGAGTGCTATTTAAACAGCTTTTAAATATTATAGACAGTTAAAAGAATGCTACAAGGACTTTCAAGATGATGTCCTTCCTGCAATAAAATTTTATAGTGGTCTTACTGACTTTCCTCCTAGTATTTCATATACCCTATATAATTTTCTAGTTATTTTTCTTTTTAAGAAGATGTGATTACTCCTAACTTTTGGGGGAAATTAAATAATCACTGGGAAAACACTAATCAGTATTAATGCAAATCAGTAGTTAGTGGAGATGCTCCACCCAGGTACGCTGTGCTCTGGTACAGATAAAATAACCTCACCTCACTTTCAATGTTACAGTATTCTTATAGACAGATCTTTCTCTACCAATTAAGAAATAATTAAACAAAATCTTCTTCAATAAAATTGCATTTTTATCATCTGTAGAAATGTTGCAGCCCTGGTTGGGATGCTTGTATCTGTGGTGAGTTCCTAATAGCAAAGTCCCTTCGGAGCAGATGCTCAAGGGAGCCATTACTTTCATCTGCTGCGTATCTGCAGAGCTGATTTTTTAATTATTAAATACATATTTTATAGAATCTCTATATACTGCTCACTTAGACCTGTTTCAATTTCTGTTTGAAATCAATCCTGTGCTTTCATAGAGCTGCATACAGCACAAGGAAAAACAGAAAGAAAAATGCAGAATGCCCCAGTTCCTCAATTAATTAATTAATTACATTTTAACCAAGACTTGTCATCTTTTTGTTATATCAGGAGAAAGGCTGACAAGCATCTGACTTATGTAAACATTAGATGTTGAATATGTAAACACTAAACCTGGAAATGCTGAAAATAGAGTTGCCTGGCTTAGCCCCTCATCTTTCTTCCTGCAGCCACCTGCACTTCTCTCAGCCCATAATACGCTGTGGCACTAAGCTGTATGAGCCCTGCAAGGCTGCTTTCCAGCTGCTCCGAGGATATAATTCTTCTCTGATAGTCACAATGACAGCAAAGTAACATTCAAACCTCATGGTTGGCATCAACAGCACTGGGCAACAGAGAAACACCTTCAAGATGCAGCTCTGTTACTGGCAGGAGTTGGATGTCCCCATCAGGCCCCCTGTTGGATCTGTTGGCAGATTGAGTTCAGGTGAGCTCAGTTTAAAGTAATTCCTGCTCATCCCCAGGCAGCTGTGCCCTGCCCTTTTCTCCCCTCATGCAGCTAAGCTGCTTCCCCTTTGCTGTCCCGGCACCACAATGCGTCTACTCCAGCCACAAACCTAAGCGATTTCCACGATAAAATAAACCTAAATACCACATGGGCAAAAATAAAGACCAGTGTGGGTGAGTAAAGTGTCAGCACCCACCATTTTCTTCCATGGAGTCACCACAGTGAGGGCAGAGCAGCTCCTCCACCACCAGGTGGACCTGACTATCACTGCCATCAGCTGGGGCTAAACACAGGGCTTTCAATCAACCCGAATTTGCAGCAAGTCCTCCCTTTTGTCACCAGGCACCTGGGCTTTTTGGGGCCTGCCCTGCTGAAGGAGCTCATCGCTGTGGCTTGAGCTCTGGATGACTGTATTTGCTTCACTTCCTTACATTTGAGCCTAAATTCTTCACGGGTTGTACTGGGATAAGTTCAGAGGAGATGCACAGATCTGCAATGTCACAAACAGAACAGGAGACAGGCTCTGTGATACTGTTTCTGCTCCCACCAAAAGGGAAGGAAACTCCGCAGTACAGAGGGAGTGCTGCAGCAGGAGATGCTCGGGCACCGCAGGGCCTCACGCCACTCACAGGCAGCTGCTGCCTTCTGAGCCGCTGTGGGAAGGGAGGGCTGCACCACGTGCTGCTTGGCTGACATTTCATTCAACTGCTTTGCATCTGAGGTATTTCTGAAAGCAAACCTAGAAAGGTTTGCATCACGCAAGTTTGAACACAATTTTTTATTACGCTATTTTTAGCAGAAAGTCTTCAGCAACCCTTTTCCTGTACACAAAGCAGCTATGGTTACGATGCAACTTGTGAGGAGTTTTAATATTAAATACACTTCAGCATTTAGCATAGGGATTATCAATAGGGTTAGCTTTTCTTTTAAATCAGGCAACTCTTACTAGGAAGTAATCTGTTCTGTGCAAGGGTCCCCACCTACTTGCCAGCACAGCTACGTGACACACATCAGCTTATAAATACAGCAGAGAGATGTCAGTTCTGTTATAGGCCTAGAGAAAGACTGGTGGCACATGGCTGTGTTAAACAAGGGTGACCCCCAGCTCACTCCAGAGGATTTCCCAGGGTGGACTCACTTGATTCTCAGCCTCTCTGAAACAATCCTACTCTATAAAATGAGATAGCACAGGAGATCCTTACCTGCTTTGCCACTGTGCTGTAGTTTGGAAGACACTTAGCTGTAAGAGACAGAATGCTTGCTAACAAACTTTCACAAGTCACACACTCTTAACAGTTGATCACAACTTATTACAGATTCTGAGCAAGCACTTTAAAAGGAGTTAGAGCTACGAAATGGGCTCTGCTGTTTGCTAAGGCTGTGCTGTTGCTTTCCCACTTAGCACATACGGAGAAAGACAAAACAACTCTATCAGTGTAAACGAACTCACAGTGAGCAGCTGCTGAATGTTTTCAATAGACTTCCTGGTAATGGCTGGTACAATTTCATTAGGGCTTCTCATTTTATTTAATAAAACATTGGATGATTTTATTTGTAGTACAGCAACAGGTGCAGGGAAACAAAAGGCACATTTCCTGATCATGCCCACAAAGAGTCCATTACTCACTGGCTGACACAGAAGGCATTCGTTTTGCCATGTGTAGTTTTTTATATGAAAATAAGGATCACTCATAAAAATAATTGTTTTATGATAAAAGACATCTGAGAGAAGTTAGAGTTAGCAATTGCACTATGCAAATGGTTTCAGTGCAAGTTCAAGTAAAGAGAGAGATAACTACTCAGTGGACACCAGTCGTGCTTTGGATACAGATCAAAATATTCTGTACAGGTGGTGAGCATCGTTAATCCTCATAATATAGAGCAGAAACCAAACACAAGAAAGGCTAAGCTCATGATCCTTGAAAGTACTCTGTAGCGAGGATCCAGTGAAGGATGTAAATGCCACAGAGTAAGTCCTAGAAAAAGGTTTTCTTTTGAAAAAAAATAAATGCCCTACTACAACTAATGCCCGGAAGAAAGTAGATTCACATCTGGACTTCAACACAGTTCAGTTTCAGCCTGTGAACTTAATCTTAGAGGAGATCTGTTACAGGATGAATCACAAGGTGTTATTTGTAGCTAAGTTAAAAGTATAACCAAACACCCTCTCAACCACATCACGTACCCTAAGCCTATGGAGGATGAGATTAGATGTTCTCTGGCTGAGACCTGAGAGTACGTTGTTTTGAAACACGAGCATCTTGCTAAAATGTTCTTCAATCAGTTCAGAGACAAGAGGAAAGGAAAACAGGAAGCAGAACACCAACTGCTTCACCTGAAAGAGGAAGAAGAGTAGGTTGTGAAAACCTAGCTTTCCGATTTGCTTTGCCCAGAGGCAAAACATCTTATTTTAGTCAGCATACTGGTGAGACAGAGACGTTTATTCTGACACATTCATGCCTTCTGAATAGTGGCAAACTCCACATAAAGGTAACGACACAGACAGAACCATCAGTGCTGGCAAAATTGAGCAAAAATTTCTACTCACCTCTATACCTTGAGTAACACAGCAATTTGTTACACTTGCCTCCCCCTTACTTCTGAGATGCAAAAAGCAAGATGAGTAAGAAGGAATGCACGTTGTCTGTGCTTTTAAAAGATTCCTGAAAAGTACATGAAAACATCTTGTAGATGGGACCCAGATCAAACATCATCTTCATTATAAAATAAGCTGTCCCTTGACATGCATTCCTTAATAAATATTTTATTAAAACCTCCATAAACACCCTAATGTCTTCCTGAGACGTGGCCTTTCAGGAACAGCAACTACACAATGCTTGCTCACCAGGCCATTGCAAAACTCAAATTGCTAATCCTGTGCTGACAAGGCATAAGATCTAATAGGGCATTAAACATGCTCTGCTAGGCAACACCCAGCTAAAGGCATGCCAAAGAAAAGGGACAGAGGAAAGGCTGCATCACACCAGCACTCATCTCCATGTACACATGCATTCTGGAGATGACCTTCTGCACACACCTGGTCTCCTGCCAGCTCTGCTCCCGTCTGTTATGTCCACTCACCACCAAATTAAGTCTCAGTCCAAACCTGTGCTGCTCAGGACGCTGATTTTTCATAATAATTTCAATAATTTTTATTATTTTCATAATAAGTTCACTCCACAGTCTATAGCTCTGCCCATGTGCCATCAAAATGCATAAATACACATTCAATCCCCCTGTCTTGCTCCCACAGGCTTGGGGTATCCCAGATGTCAATGTGAGAGTTCTTGAACTACACAAGGATGAGGTGTAAATTTATTCCTTCTGCTCACTTGAACGAAGGGGCAGTTGGCAACTAGCTTGTGCAGCACAACAAAGCCCAGACAGGAAGATCTGGAGGGGGAAAAAAAAAAAAAAAAAAAAAAAAACAACAAGATTCAGGGCTGACTACCCAGGAGCCATGACCTAAGTTCCTTCACATAATGGCAAAGAAGTCCTATTTGGTATCGACACCTATTGAAGTCCTATTTGGTATCGTCTCGAAGAAGGAAGGACACATCTACCCGAGTTTCTTGCAGGTGCAGGGGACACAGAACCACAACGTGATTTGAAAAATGCACAAAGAAGCTGTTGCAAGAGCTTTGCCGTGTCACTTCAAGCACCCGCCACCTGGAGCAGGCAGTCTTTGGTCCTCCACACACAGGTGCCTGTATGCAAATACACATTCATTTCTCAAACCTTTCTACAGCCGCACAGGCACATAAATGCAGCCACCTCAATCAAGCAGGATGGCTCCAGCCATTACTTAAGAGCAGAGTATTGGTCAAATACCTGCACGTTTTCCTGCAAAGCTGCAAACTGAGCAGATACTACAGAAGAGCCTGACCTTATTCAAGACCGAGTGTGAGCAGCTCCTAACACAATGAGAAGGAGCTGCCAACGCAGAGCAACACATTTGATTTTGAGGTCTTCCCTCCTTTCATTATTTTATGTTTGAAAAACAGGAAGATGAGATGTAGCATTTGGGAGCAGAAAACAATCACTTCAGAGTAATCAGTGAGCAATAAACAAGCTTTCAAACAAGCACCACAGTGGGTCTTGGAAGAGGGAAAGGGAAGCTAAGAAGCAGTTCCAACATTAACTCGGGGATGTTGGACACATAAGATTAACCCAAAATACAGTGCATGCCTAAGTGGCTTCCGATGCCTTCTTCCTCTCTTTGAGCTGACAAAAGAAAATTTGATTGCAAGAGTCTACGCAACTTGCCCCTGTGGGACATGCAGAGAAGCCTGCCCAGAAAGCTAAGCACGGCGCTGACATGCTGGGCTGCACACTCTGGAAGTCACGCACACATTAAGGTCTTTATCAGCAGAAAGAAATGCTTAAACTGTTCCTTTCCCTTCCTGGTTGCTCGCTTCCACCATCCGTGTATCTCCCCACATAGGCCAGCACAGTTGTTTCTGCAGTCGTAAAGAAAGTAGTGATCAGAAGCAAAAATATCAGCCCAACAATTTCCTAGCCAGCAATGGAAAAATCACTTTTTCTGTTTTACTTTGATTAGAACTAAGAAGAGGATAAACTATTATCGAGGGTATTGCCAGTCAGATACTGGTGAATGGGACCACACAGCAGACTGGGTGCCCAGATGGTAAAATACCCATTCCAGGTGTGAAAATTTTCTTGTTACATTGCAGTCTGTGTAACAGTCCTAATAAGTGCTTTTGGGATAAGTAAATATTGCCAATGTGAATGCTGCTCAAGATTAGTTTAACTTCTGGGAAAAAAAGAAAAAAGAGTTATTATTTTTTTGTGGAAAAACAAGATGATTGATATCATAGTCTGGAAAAAAAAATAATGAGAGCTTATTTAAACAGTGAGAGGAAACACAGAAGACAAAAATTAGAAGAGCACTCTACCTGCACTTGAATTTAATTCCAGAGTACCAGAGAGTTAATTGCTTTTAGAAGAGGTCTTACCAGCCAACTTAATACTTCTGTACATACAGATCAAACATGGATAGATCTATCACTGATTTTCTATTTAACCTTCAAGAAAGACCAAAAAAAAAAGTTTCCCTTTCAATGGGTACTAGACATGGCTGCTCTATGCTTAATTACTGAAGTTTAGACCCAGTAAAAAACTAAGTTAAACTGAGTAAGTTAGATCCAAAAAGCTCCCAAAGATTTCTCTATCCTAAGCCTGATCAGGTCCCAGAAATTACCTGTTCTGCCTACCTTTCTGAGGTGGCCCAGCCCGCAGGAATCATCTAACAGATGCCATTTACTCCTGCCAGCACCTAGTTTTTGAGAAAGGCTGGATGGACGCTATCTTTTCCCAGATCTCCCAGTGACTCACACCAGCACCTCCTGCTCAGCAAGCCTGGACAAGGACCTGGCACGGCCAACTTGCTGCCCGGGGGGCAGAGGAGTGGCAGCGCTGGGCTCTGGGATCCATTCTGCACACACGGGATGGGTGCTGCAGCACTGAGCTCACAGGCTTCCACGCCTCTCCTTAGATTTATCTCTGAATTACCAAACACATAATGAGGAAAAAAAAAAAAAAAAAGATGCCATAGAATGACAGCTATATTGCATACATGCAGCCAACAGAGAGCCATAGTCAACAGGAAACCACTTCCAATTAACTCAAGAAGCAACGCTCAGGACTCTCAGCTGGCCACACCAGCAGCAGGACGTGCTCTTATCCTACATTTGTTGCTAGATGGGAAATAAAACAACAAATGGAAAACGAAATTAGTAGGTTGATCTGGAGGAGGAGAAAATTCTATTCTGTGCATTTTTAAACTCTATTAAGTAGATTGCTACAGGATGTCCAAGCCAAAAGGCCAACCCATTTAGAAGGTTTTATGTTGTACTTGCAGGATTATCCACTTGAATTCACCATTATCTTAAATGGAACAATGGCTATTTCCTAACCTGCTTCCAAACTTTTCTTAATTGCTGAAAATCTCAGAGAAGGCCAGCGCTGGGAGAGCCATTTGCAAAAAGACCTTTTTGCCAAGATAGTGTCCACAGTGAGATATTCCTTAGCATTTTCTATATAATCCTTTAACTATATTATGTGGAGAAAGTTCCTGTATGTAAAACGATATACCTACAGCACTGAGGGATTGCAGAATTTTGCGTTGCATTTCAAACCCAGGAGTGTTTTATAAAACCATTAAATGATGTAGAACAAGCGAATTATCGCACCATTGGCCAAATTCTCCAACATTTAGGTTTACCCTAGGGTCCTATCAAGGAGCAGGGACACTGCACGAAGGCGATGCCCATGCTTGGGGGCACGCTGTGCTGGCTGTGGGAAGGGGAAGGTGCCCGGGGAAGCCCATGGACATGGGGCACTTGGGGAGAAACCCACCGGCTGCTCCCTGAGGGGCACTGAGGATGGGCCAGGAGATGCCAGATGGGGCCAGGCGGTGGGTGCTGCCCGCGTCCCTGAAAGCACCGAGGGCTCTTCCAGCTGCGAGACCTGCGAAGAAACAGAAGCAATTAATCTTCTGAAAGCCTGCTCGGCCCTTTCAGTGACACCTTTGGGATGGGACCTGTTGGGATGGGACCTCCCCACACGCCGCAGTTCCCCCTCCCCCCCCGAGCCAGCAGCCACACGGTGCCCTCAGGGCGAGGCGCTGCCCCCCGGGGCCGTGCCCGTCGCCCTCCCGGTGGCCCTGCCGCAGCCCCCCGGCCCTGTCCGTGCCCTGAACACGGAGCCAGCCCGCTCTCCGCCATCCCCTCACCGCCTTCTCCTCACAGGGCCCCGCCTCGCCTCGCCTCAGCCGGCCCCGGTTCCCCTCCCCGCGCTGCCGGTGGGTAGGGGCGGAGATGGCCGCCGGCTGAGGCGGCAGCGGCGTGGCGGGGGCAGCCGGGCACGTCCCGGGACCTGAGGCGGCTCAGCCTCACCGCAGGGGCGGCAAGGTGGGCTCCTCGGCGGGCAGGGGCCGGGAGGGACCCCACAGGACCCCCACGGGACCCTCAACCCCAGCGTCCCCTCAGAGCCGCCAGGAGTGAGGAAGCTGCGAGCCCAGGTAGGCTGCTAGCTCTCGGGCGGCTTTTGAGGAGGCACCTGGCTGACTGCTCGCCAGCTCTGGCCGTAAAATGCTGGTGTGGGTTTAAACGTGAGCACTTCGTGGATCACAGGGATGCTGTGAGGCTGCCTGCAGCTGCCCTGGGCTCTCTGCTGCTGGGTGTGCGGGCACCGTTCCTCACCCCGCGGCTCTGCGGCTGTCAGTGAGGGGTGCAGCTCTGCAACCGGCCTGGGCAGCTTGCTGTTCCCTTACTGAGACTGTTAAGGGTTTAAAAACAACGGCAACGACAAAAATAATAACTCTAGAAAAGGCCTAAAGTGCGTCTTAGCAGTGGGCTTCAGCACAGGCGAGCTGTAACAGACAGAAGTATGAGGCACCTGCGCTGCCTAAAAGGAGGGGAAGGGCAAAAGAAGCGAAGTAGCAGTTAACAGGTTTGCAGAAAAGCCGAGGTAAAAGTGGAGAAACGTTTAATGCTTCGCTTTCATCTGTGGTTCGAAGGAGAAGTGCTGTGAAAAGTTGTGGTATCACTGTCCTGGTCCCTTAGAGAGGGAAGTATGGAGAGCTTTTCCTGATACGTTGTGTTGGTGTACATGAAGCCATCCTGCTCATTTTTCTTAGGAATTACCACATGGGAAGTTGTTGTAAGGGAAGTTAACAAGTCTAAGGGGAAAACAGCATTTCTGAGGTGCCTATTGCTGTATAACTTATATTGCTAAAGGATGAACAAAATGCCAGTCAACCAATGAAGCTTGTTTAGTTTGGTTGCCTGATTTTAGCAACTAAACAGGATGAGTTGTTTGGATGTCTTGTCTGCTTTCGGGATATTCCTGCGGTCTCAATTCCATATAGATTCTGTGAGCATAACAAACTGCGAGGCTGTAACATGACAGGTCCTGCTGGTTGCACAGTTCCTGTCCTATGTGGTTTTCTTCAGAATACGTAGTGGTGCTGAACCACCTCCCCCTCTGCCCAGCTGGACAGAAAGACCTCCATGCTTTCTAAAGGGAAGAAGCACAGTCAACCTTATTTCTGAAACCTTTCCTTAGGGAAGTGGGTAGAAGAGTAACTTAAGCATACGTTGACCTTTTAACCCTCGAAAGAGTATACATAGAAGAACATAAAATAGAGGTGTTCCTTGTTTTATTGAAGCTTTTAACCTTAACTAAGGAGCCTGGAAAATTCAGATGTAGATTTGGTAGTTGTTATGGTAGGGAATAATATATAAGTAGAACTACACCAGAAATAAATCCCTACAAATATATTTTTTTTCCTTTTCAGACATGAAGCCCGGTGCCCTGTGATGTTTATTTTGCTGGCTCTTACTGTTGGAGGATGGCTGCTCTATTCTGTGAAAATTGTTCTGGCCAGTACCACTACCCGCAGGCCCACCAGCCTTTTGAAATCAGCGGCATGTTGCTTCTGATCATGCTTGGAAAGGTGTCCCTTGATTTCTTCATGTTGCAAGTTAAGCAAAAAAATGTGAAAGCTAGCTTTATGGGATACTTCTGTGTTTCTCTGGCACTCCTAGATCTCATCCTGCTGATCAATATAGCTGTCATTTTCTATTTTGAAGACTTTGCGCTCTGGGGTGTAAGATTTACAAAGTACCACATTTGCCTCTTCACTCAGATAATTTCCCTTACTTACGGTATTTTGCATTACCCAGTATGTCTCGTGGCTGGTCTGGATTATTACATGACGATAGCCCAAACCTCTCAACATCCTAGACAAGCTCAAAGACTATTTTATGTATTTGTTGTGATTTTCATATGGATTTCAGTTTTTTTCTGTATTCTGAAAGTTCCTGCTATCTACGAAGAACTAGAAATTCGAAACCATTTCTCTCCTTATCAGTGTCCTCTCTATGTCAGCGTGCAGAGCTACGCCGTCTCGTTTGCCATGCTGCTTCTCATAGGCATGGCTTTCATGGTTTCTCGGAAGGAAGTCATAACCATGATACTGTCTGTCAGGGTGATTTCTTTCGCCAATCAGCCTGTTCTGATGTTCTCGTACGCGTCTAACAACAATGGCACTTGCTTTAAGTGGCAGCTTCTGACCAGACTCCTCGTCTGTTTCCTTGGCACTTGGGCACCTTTTGTGCTTCTTCAGTTTATAATTTTGTTTCTTGGTGCTCGGATTCCGGCCTACATGGAGATGAATGTCCCCTGGCTGTACTTCATCAACAGCTTTCTCATTGCAGTAGCGTACTGGTGTCGATGTCACGATGTTGAATTGACAGAGGAGATGTGGTCTACAGACCCATTTGTTAGCTGGAAATTCTGCTTTATGCCATTTAACAATGAAAACACAGAGCCAGCTGAAAAGCCAGGCACAGTAATTGTGATCTGTTAATGAGCTGCTGACTGAAAAGACTGCAAGAAAGTTCTGTGCGGCAGAAGTGCGTACTTGGATGCTCTGTGACAGTGTCCTTACAGATAATACGAAGAAGCATCTCCAGAGCTACAACCCATGGAAAAGAATCCAACATTCACAAGGACAGTAATAAATATTGCACCAGGATGTGGGACACTGCATGCTTCTACGCCAGTCCAAAGAGTCTGAAGTATGGGTTTTATAGAAGACCAATACTTCCAAAAACCAAGTTTCCAGTTAAACCTTGTGTTTTTACTAGAATGTTACGCTTATTTTAAATGGAACGATCTCAGGTTTTATAGTATAAAATGCAATAAATTATTTTTCTAAGCTGAAGCCCTTTTATCAGTTAGATACAAGAAAGCTACTGTCATGTTCAAACAACTGTGATTTTTTGAAGTCGTCTTCTTGTTCAAGTAAATTTTTGTCGGTTTAACTTAAATTAAGGCTTTTTTTTTTGAATGTTTAATGAGGAATAAATTGTTTTAGTTAAAGCTATACCTCCTACAGAAATACAAGCTTTGTTTACATACAATATTGCAAGATGTGTAACTTTCACAACTACAGGAAGGGTGATGTTTCGTTATTTCTTTGCTGCTGCTTCTCTGATGTATATATGCATATTAAAAACTCTTTGTCTACAAACAGAGCAGTAAGAGCTTTAATGCAGAACAAATACAAATGTGTTTAATATGAACAGTTCAGCTAGACTCCCTCAACTAAGCAGACATGTATCCTCCTACAAGTTTTCTTGATACACGTAAGTACATGCCAGAGGTTAAAGAACAGGTTCAAGTAGAACAGAATTTATTCTGCAGCCAAGATTACTCTGATATTAAAGTAGTTCTACTTGCTGAAGCAGGTCTATCTCAGTAGGGGAAAATTATTCAGACTTCTAGCAAAAGCATTTAATTAATTTTCAAGTTCTTACAGTTCAATGAAGATTAAACTCTTGGTTTAATTTTGTAGGAGATAAACGTGATACACAACCAAAGCAGACAAATGGAAGTAGCATTTATTTCTGAAGCACTGAACTCACAGTACAATATTATATTGAAATAGGAAACTATAGAAGTAAATGACGCTGCAGGTTGGTTGGTTAATCATTCACTCAGACCCACAGGGAACAATGGTATCACACAAGAATACTCATTAAGAAAAATCTGCAGGTAACAAAAGGTGCAATTACAAGCAAGTTTAAGCAGCATAGTATAAGGTGCTTTGTTTCAGCATTTGTATAATCAATTTATCCATTAACAGACAGATTAAAGTAATCTCACTTCTACGGATTCATAACAAATGAGAGAATCTAAAATTCATTCACATGCTTGTTGGTAATAGGAAAGTGCTTTTTAAAAAAAATGATTCACAAAGTGAAGATCATATTTTTACATATTCACTGTGCTCTTCAACTGTAAAATTTAATTTTTGGGTTACCATTTACAATACTATATATCAATTATAGACATACGTTTTAATTGCAGAATTTAGTGATACATGTGCTAAAATTTCTTATAAAAGAATATTCCAGTATATCACTCCATGATAAGAATTTACAATCGCGTACCATATATTCATCATACATTTCTGCAATATATCAAAGTCCAATTAATTCTGATTTATTACTTCACCCCACGTAGTGCTTCTTTCACCCACAGTGGGTCAAAGAGTTCATTGAGGTTTCAGTGACAATGTTTCAGAAACGAAACCAAAAGGACAGTATTGTTAAAGCAGCAGAAAATGGTTTCTGGAAAATCTGTTAAAAAGGCCATCAAAATGACAGCAAAGGATCAAAAACTGAATTTTAACAGCAGTGTAATAAGAGGCAGCAATGTTCAGCAATATAGTTTGAAGTGTTTGGCACCACAAATTGTTTCATCCTTTATGCGGGATACCGTATTGGAGGAAATTCTATTTCCACATTGAAAGTAGGAAAGCATGGATAATGTTAACCTTGAAAAACGACTGTAAGCAATCACTCCCTGCACCTGGTTTCCAATTGCTGTTCCTTAGTGCTTGAGATGCTATAGGACAAAATATGTCTAACCATATTTTTGGACACAGCATTTCCTCAGGTTATATATAAACTGGACACCCACTGAAATGGGGTTGACAAAGTATTTACAAAACCTAATTCCATTTAAAAACCAGCAAGTATCTCAGATAGTAATGCACCAGGCATTTCAGAAGATCATGAAATAACTAATGCATACAGATTTGGCAGGCAAGGGAAAATATCTAATTTTAAATTCACTTAACATCAGATGAAGACAAAATTATTTTCAAGAACACACAATTCAGATGCTTCTTTTGGTGTGGTTAGTCTCACCCTTCTGATTCACTGATGTACACAGAACTGGAACTGCAAGAAGCTGGGTACGGACAGATGTATTTATCGCTGTGGTTCATATTCTCAACCTGTAATTAAAGTTTACCCATCCCCATCTGTTCCGACACAGCAGAATTCCCATAATTGCTGCACTGCTTCTAAAGACATTTTAAGTTTTTTAAATCGTAATTTTACAGGGAAGCCACAACATGCAGGCAAATCAAATGTCAATATACTGATGTCACATCCCTGTGTTACAATCAAACTCTTTCTTTCATACTTTTTGGGAAAAAGCGTCCAAAAGGATCAACCTATAAGCTGTCATTACGGCCACCAAGTAGGTAACAGCAGCGCTACAGGCCTCAACATAGCATCCAACTGTGGCATCTTAGGCTACTGATGTGTACCTATTTTAAAATACATTGACAGTAGCTCATTTTAAGCCCATTTTTATCCGTGACTTCTTTATGGAGGGAGATACCTGATCCAGTTGTGATCTTTATTCTGTTACCCTCCTAACAGGCTTTTCCTCCCTTTGTGCATTTTTTTTTTATCTGGTGCTTCTGAGAAGTCATTAACACTGAGCCTTGAGTACAGCAATAAAACCATAAACCATTATTTTGTAGAACAGGATTACAGTTTCACTGCAAGACACAGAGGAGAAGCTATGTAAGAAAAGTAGCAATATCTGAAATAATCCATACTACAGACAACCATGAACCTAGGTTACTACTCGTGCTGTGCCAGCAACTAATGACCTTATACCATGCAAACATTTTACAGTCCTTTAATTCTTATAGAATTATATAATATTAGCGGTAACAGTGGCGAAAGCATTAACCCTTTATGAGAAACTTATGAGAATGCCTTAAAAATCAACATTGAATTTAGTGAGCTATTCTATGTGTTTTCAACTCTAAGTGAAAGTATTTGGCACTCATTAATAAAACCTTTCTTCTTACACACATCTTTCCTGATCAGTACTGGTTTGCTAAGGGTACAGCACAAAGAATTCTTCAAGGGAAGCTGGCTCCGCAGAACACTTCATTGTTCTTTCAACCATCTACTTTCCAAATAGAGGACGTAATGTCCCAGCTGCCAAAACACTGAGCAGGTAGCACAGGACAACACAAGTCTTCCTGCATGTTGAGCACAGCCACAAAGCAGACGTGTGCCATAAATCAATTGTATTTGTGCTTCTAGCTTAATCCCACCGTCAGCTAGGGCACCCTTATTTGGTACCTACGATCAATACTATAAGCCTCTCAACAATCCTATGCAAAAATAGTGCTTTCACACATAGTTAAAAATACTTCTTAAATGTTACGTGTTGCATTCAAACAATATCATTATTCTATGAATGTACATTTGTGCTCGAATTATAATTCCTTCTAGGTGGAAAAATCTCTTCCGATCACATTTTTCCAGATCCTTACTTGCAAAATGATCATTTTGTGTAATTTAGCAGGAAGTTAATACAAGCTGGAAGTTTAATTTTTTTAACTTGAAATCTGCTCACAACACTGATTCCCAGAACCGTGGTTCAGAAAGCCAGATCAACAGCTACAAAAGCCAGACCATAAGCTTGCTACGTATCTTTTATTACAAGCATACTCACACCTTTGAATTTTTCTTCCCCTTCCATGCAGCTATGAGAGACCAGTAAATTATAAGTACAACCTCCACGTGAATAAGCAGGTGTGTATGAGTTACAACACAGAGGTTGCACAACCCGATATAACAGCTTAGAATGAGGGCCTTCAATACTTGTGGAAGTGCTGCCCATGCGATCCAGGAGACAAGCACTACACAAAATGCTCCGGCCAACACAGCTGAGACCCAGCAGGGCAAAAAGTGCCAAATGTGCTAAATCCACATGGAGAAGAAATGGCACGATAGAGCTCCTCCAATGTTATGCAGAAGGTAGAAATGAATCAGCCCAATTCATATGGATCAAGGTAACGTGTCCTATCTGCTTTTGCATTTGATCTGTGTCCCAGTCTCTGATTACAGCTCTTGGACTACGTTAGAGACAGCTTTTTGAAAGAGAAATTGGACATAGCATCTACACTGCAGGCTCCTGTCTATATCATAATTACCTTTCTTCTTTTAACGTCACTATTTTCAAAGCCATCCAGTGGCTATAGCTACCTAGAACCCATAGAACCTAACTAAATTCTCATGACCAAAGGCAAATTCCTTTAAAAAGAAGTTAATCGAGACTTAGCTTAAGTGAACTAAGCATTAAGTGATTTTAAATTGCTTTCTCATCATAATATTTCCTGTCTGAAACTACAGTTAATTGTGCAAGAGTGACTTCAAAATGTATTTACTACGAGACATTAACACTTTACATTGTAATAATGCATTTTTAGCTCTCTTCATTCCTGTTCCACTCAGCATTCAACAGAAGCTGTGTGCTTGCAACAAAACACATTGAAGTGTTAGTTTCTCTCCATCTCTAAGTTTGATGAAAGTTCAAGAAAAAAAAAAAAAAGAGAACAGTATCCCAAACAGATTCTTTTGCAGAGTCGTTATCTGTAGCCTAGAACAACTGATGAGTAAAAGTCTGGTTAGACAGCTACGTATCTAAATATATGCTAACGGAAAATCTCTATGCCATATTGGTAGGAGAAAATAACTCTGCAAGCTTTAATATACATGCTTAATTTTAACATGAATAGCCTCAATGCCATCAGGAGAACTACTCGTGTTACAGATTATGTGGATGCCTAATTATTTGCAAAATGAGGACTCACCGCACAGCTGTCACTGAGTTCTCTGATCAGCGTGAGCTACACATCTGTCAATGCATAAGAAATTTCTTACACGATTAAGCTGTAAGTTTCTGCATTGATATTGTGATGAGAGCAGCCTGAAATAGGCAGCACTACTGCTAGTGACACACCAGCTAGCAAAGTCTCACTACATAAACTTCTATTCAAACTAGAGTTTACACCTGAACATTTCCTTACAGCTAAGACCAAGATAAAGTGATCCAAAAGCTATTGTAAACCTGCTCAAATACCGTCACACATTTCTTTTTTCCTGCTGCCATGTCTGCAGTTATGACGGACTCCACCTGTCCTGCTCAAAAGGCTGCATTCTCACTTGTGATTTGTCAAGAAGCTAGAAGAAAAAAATGCTTTCATGGGAGAGAAAGGAGGAAATGAATGCTTGCAGGACATAAACCTGAGGTATATCGACACAAGAATAGGAAAAGTTCTACCCTCTAACATTCCTGGGAAATAACAAAGAAGATTAATGGATGTGATGGATTTACAATTTAGCCTGTTTAAAACCCCCAAAACTTTGGGGTGATCCAAGCCAACAGAATTTAACTTGACAAGATGGCTGTTTTTTACCTTCTGTATAAATGAGGTGATAAAGTCTTATAAATTTGCCAAATGTGAGGCATGGGGTGGCTGGAGAAGTCAGCAGTCCATCGACAAGGCTTGATTTTGAACAAGTGGCCTAGCTTCCTTGATGCTCCTAAGGCATGGGCACTCAGTGATAAGAGCCAGATCATTTAGGGGAATATAATTACGCACCCATTTTGAACATTCAGGGGCTTTTCTTTAAAATGCAAAATAAACTCTGAGCTGAGACAAGTGTAATAGTTTTAGCTCTGTTGGAAGAAATCTCCACAGTCACATTAAGCTCAGGGCTCTGTGAGAGGATGCCCTGAGCTAATGCTGCACTTTGCCTTCAGGAGTAAGGTAGGATAGAAGCCAGTGGAGGAAAAAGAAGGGAGAAAGCCATCCAACACATCTCCCTTTTAAGCTAAGATCCTACAGTGTCCTGCCTTCCTTTCTACAGGAATTGAAATCTTGCAGGGATTACTGAGATATAGCCCACAACAGCAGCAAGCTGAATGCAGAATACAAAATCCCATGAAATAAATCTAAAGGAAAGGGTTTCTGGTAGACACATCCAGTGGAGCAACTGTTAAAAAAAATTAACATCAATTAAATTCAGCAAGACTTCCTCTTCTGAAAGAGGGTCTGGCTTAATCTGTGAGGAAAGCCAAGGGAAATAGGTAGCATAAACCTGGGAAAACCTCACTGACCTAAACCAAAACAGAAATGACTGGTATGCAAAATTGTTCTTGAGGAATATTGTTCCAAATATACATATCTTTTTTGAGTAAATTCAAAAGCTTCTGAAATAGACTTTAGCTACACTTGAAAGTTAATGACAAAAGAGTTGAAGAAGAAAAAACTTTCAGTAAGAGTAAGGCCCACATTCTTAGTTTCTGCATTCATGAATATTTAAAGCATAACTCACTATCCGCGGCTCTTCCAAAACCACAGAAAATGTAGTGTACCAGGAGAACCAGAGCAGACATGACAAATGCACGTCTCCTCTGAGCTCCTGGCATCTGTCAGTGATTAGTCAGGGTTGTATATAAACACTAGCCGTAGAGGTTCTCCTGAAAGCTGTCTCATAAAACAAAATGAAAACAACCGTGAAATTCTCATGCACGTAACATTGATTAACTGCAGGTCTAAATAGGACTCACAACATCAGCCCACATTTCTAAATATGCCTTAAGCCATTATCAATTCACATGTAAGTACACCTACTTTTTACATTGCCCAAGAACAGTACAATCAGAAAACAGGTTAAAAGTTAGCCAGTGAAATTTCTGTATAAAAATAATAAAACTTTAAGACAAAAGCCAAAGGATAAATATCTAAGATATCTTTAGTCTTCAATTAGCTCATCAAAACAGAACATACTCTTTAGAACATATGTTACAGATATACTACACGGGGTATCTTACAGAAATGCTACAGATGGGAACCTGTCTTCATCACTTGAGTATCTTTCAATTGAACATTGCCAAACATCGAACCTTCAATTAAGTTTATTTGACAACAGTAACTGAAGACAGAAAAAAAAAAAAAACTAATTAGAAAGTGCTTAGCAACTTCCCTCCAAAATAAACCCAGACATCAATTAATTCTTAAAAGCCTTTGGTGCCATTCGGATTAGGGCTCTCACCACTTACTAGCACGTAACAGCAATGGGTTGTCCTAACTTCGAGTTTTCAGTGGTTGATAAAAATATTAATAACATCTGCTATTAGAAAGCTCAAGCAGTTGTAATTAAAAGCAATGGTTCTAATGTTGATCTCTAGAAGATAACGGTAGAAAGTCTTTTAATAGAAAGAACACAACAGCCTAATTAAAGGAGAATGAAGCACAACTTTTTCTGTAATCTCAGCCGACTCTTTAAGGTCAGTTAACTAATATACATATTATTCTACCTGTCATAACCCTTCCTTTCAGCCAGTGTATGTGCATTGACTTCTTTTGATCTAGTTCAGCAGTTCTCAAACATTAGATCAGTTCCTCTTCTTTTTAGGGATACTTTACGGTCCCCCTGAATATTTCCCTACACAATCATATATTATGCATTACTTTGCATAAAATACAAAATACATTATCTGTAGACACACATTTAATTCAAATATACACAGCAACTATCAGCTCACGTGCCCTTCTTTCCCTACACGAGAGCTTAGAGATCTAGGCCTGTCCATAAGGGGAGAGGAGCTGCAAAAGGGAAGGAACAGAAGGTACAAAATACATCCACAAACATCCAAACACGTGTGATGGGGAAGCAAAGATCGAGAAGGTGCTGCTGCCTCAGAGCCCAGGTAGCTTCTGAGGGTGTCAGTAAGTGGGAAAATGTATCTGTGCTGCACAGAGAGTGAAAGAGTGACCACCGAGGGAGACTGATCCCACTGCCACTCTGCAGCATCCAAGCCAAAATCTCCTGCCAGAGGCTCAAAGCAGGGCCCGCAGGGATTTCTGCCAGAGCTGCCTAGCAGGGGTGCTCCTCCTGCTCACCTACAGCTCCAGGCTCCTTCCACCGCTGTGGCAGCTGCTCCTGCACCAAGCTCTGCAGGGACCTCACCGGGCTCCTTCCCTGGACTACTGCAAGCCCAGCTCACACTAGCCAGCGGACAAAATACTGTTCTTGGAAGCTTCCAGTGAGGCAATGGGAATGCACTACAGGGAAAGACAGGTTAAAAAAGGAAGTGGTAAGAGGAAAAAGAGGGTCTGAGCTACGCTACCCCTTCTCTTTACCTCCAGTCTTTAGGGTACACTTCTCTCAACATGAGCTAGTTCTGGCTGCAGTTTTCAACCCCTCACGCCTAGGCAGTTGGGATCCTGAACCCTGAATGTGCTCACGCTTTCTCAGGATCCATTCTGAATCCTCATTTGGGAACTGCTGGTCTAGTTTAACTAGCAGCATGCAAAACTGGAAACCGAACAACTTAATGCCCTCTTAGTGCATAGCAGCATACAAAGAGTAAAGTAACTTATGTGCTTCAGTTACCACTGGCAAAAATGTCATGCCATTGCATTTCAGTAGCCTGATAATGAGGACTTTGATGAGATGCCTACATGGCTTAAAGTATTTCCAGACTTAAAGAATATACTACAGCAGCGGAGATGAGAGTAAGCCTACACAAGGAAAACAGGCTGCCAACCTACCCCATACAAACAATTTGCTCTAGACTAAAAGAAATTCAGAGAGCACAACTAAATGCATAGCATTTTACTGTTTTCAGTGCTTCCACAGGGCCTGTGGACACTTCTGTGATTTCAGTCCAAAAACTGCTGTATGTGGGAAAAGTCATCCTTCAGAATACAGTAACACAATCTAAATGGTGTTCAGATTAGGGGGGGTGCTGGGGTGTTAATCTTAAAATTACAAGATAAAGTACATATCGGTGAATATTTAAACTATCACAGCATATTTCACTTCATGTTTTTCCATGAGCTCCCACTTTAAGTCAAAGTATTATTCAGGCTTTACCATGAACTTTTAAATTGCTGGAAACTATAGGACTACATGGTATAATCAGAGGAATACTTTTATGTCTATGTGGGAAAAACTCCATGTATTTAACAAAACATCACAGTAACACTCATGCCATGGTGAAGATGTTGGCATATTACTGCTGGTTTTGTCATAGAGAAACTGTTGTTTAAACCTTCATGTTCATGCCCTACGATTCTTTCAAGGAATTGATACGTGCGCAGATTTTTAATGCAGGTCCAAGCTTTATATTCATTGCACTCATAAGGTGATCCTCCTTCAACAAGAGGAGAGCTTGTCCATCAATTTCTTGTGCTCTAAATTCATCTGCAATATCTTGACAACCTAAAGGCAATGGAAAAAAAAAGAATTACTGTGTTAGAAATGTACATCCCTAGGTGCAATGGCTGTCCATCCTAGAGATTTTTAGTTACGCAATTCCTAATGCTTGCCCCTTTAGCTTGTGAAACCTACAGTATGTGAAAGAGTTCAATAATGATGGGAACTTTTGACATAATCTGAAAGTCATTTTTACTACACTTACACCATAACTATTGATGAATTACTTATCGGAAATTTCGAGTCCTCGCATAGACAAATTTTCTCATTTCATATAAACTGCCCTGATCTCCTAACTGATAGACACTTGCAAAAAACCCACAAAAGCAGCCATCATTCAAGCATAATTCAAGTAGGTTCCCTCTAGACACAATGTGCATATTCTATGGTTAGCTAGAACTCAACGAGAAAATTCACTTACCTGTGATTTGCACAAGGTGTTAATTCCACCCATAAGTTACCACTGCTGGGTTAAGCAAACAGAATTGCTATTTGTGGGCTTTAGCATGACTGTCTCACTGGTACATTTATCAGCAGTTTATTATCATTTATCATTACGTGCAACTTTAAATTGATTGGATTTTTTCTTTGAATGATAAACTCTTTTTCTGAACATGAACTAACATGGGCTCAGATCACAGAGGTTTACAACATCAGAAACGGGACTCTTCATGGATTAGACGGTCCAAAGTAACTGAAGGCCCCTTTCTGCTGAAGAATGCTATGGAAACAAAAGGTTGCTCAAGGGATGTCTGGAAAAGGTCTGCTTTTCACATAGTATAAAGCACAGGTTTGTTTTTTTTGCCACCCCCCCCCACCTTTTTTTTCCCTAACCATTATATTAACTAGACCACATATAACAATTAGCTGCCTCTTTATTATGGAAAGGGCAAGAATAAAAAGACAATGTAAGAAGAAAAAGGTCTCCTAAGAAAAAGGAATCAATGAACTATGATACCAAAAGGAAAACATCTGTTTTTTAGCTGCTGACTAACTTTTAACCAGGAGTGAGGACTGTTTTGCATAGCATTTACACCAACACACCTTTAATACATGACAACACCCTCTTCTTGGGCATTACTTAGGGTAACAAGAAATTAGACTGGTGAAAAGAAAGCAAAATTAGTTTGTCACAGACAGTATTCAAACAGCTACTAAAACAGAGAAACATCAGAATGTTTTAGTACCTGCATGTATTCCATAACATTTACTTTTAATATCTCTGCTACAGTGCAGCCCAGCTACAAATTAACGCAATCAATATGAGAATATTGTTCAGGAGCTCAGAGTTGTCAGAGAACACCTGGAATGGTTCAGACAATTCCAGCTACAAAATGAAGGTAATGCTGCCAGTAATATGACGATAAAATCTTGGACAACTGACCAGTCTCAATAGGTATTAGCAGCTCTAATATCATTATAAAGGTTCTTATTTATGTATTGACAACCCACAAAGATTCCGTAAGCTGAGCACTAAGTGCTTCTGTGAGATATCCCTCACTGTTTGTCTGACTTCAGATCTGAACTTGGTGGTTGTCAGACCACAGCGCTTACAAAGAATCTGATAGAACAAGATAAGCGTGTATATTTAGCAGCAAAAGTGGTCCTATGAAAATAGCTTATTAGTTATTGTTGGAGGCTTTTTCTTTAACCAGGATTTGCTTTATGAATTTGCCTTTCTTAATAAAAAACCCACAGCCTTTCTCAAAATCATTTTGGAAAAGCAAAAGATGGAAGTTGAAATCTATTTCAGTTCCCTCACACAGCCAAATTTGGGTATTCTTAAGTGCTTTCACAATTGGTCATTGTGCAATAGCTTTAAAAGAAAAAAAGAAAAAAAAAGGATGTCATGCGAGTAAAAGACTATTAACCGGGCAACTGAAGAAAGAAAAGAGGAACAACTTTGCAGATTAAACTGTTGCCATCTCTTCCAAGACTCTGCAGGAATTCAGAAAAAGCCTGACAAGAAAGCTTTACTCTACAGTTAGATCTTAGCTTACAGACTGAAAAAAAGGGCAGTAAATTAAATCAGGTGTCCCTACTGCTTATAAAGTACAGAAGACACAAATCACTGCTTCCTGCAACATGGCAAATGGTCTTCATGGCCTGCACCAAGTACATATTGAAAAATAGCATAACAAAAAAACAATTATAGTCATTATTTCTTGTATTTTTCAATTCTGACAGCATATGAAAAAGTATTTCTTTTAGACTGGTGTGAGAATGTATTGAACAGAAAAAAACACCAAAAATACAGATGCAAATATGTAATAAAAGTTCTGTCAGGTTATGAATATCATTTTAATTATCTATTGAACTTAAAAAAAAATAAATGAGGAACTAGGTCTTAATGTGAATAGAAATAAGTGATTGTAATAAATTTTCATTGAATACATAATAATATAAAGTTTGTTTAAATTCAAAGATCAACTCATTTATAGAATGAATAAAAAACAGATCCAGCAGCCGGGGACATATTCTACAAGTAATGGTTTCAAAGTAGAAATCACGTTTTAAGGACAATATTTGTTGTCATACTTGTAAATGAACTGTGTTTATATGGTACTTGAAGTATTTTATTTTTTTTTAGAACAGGAACTATCTTTTATTCTTTTACAGATCCTACGATCTGAACTGAAGCTTCAAATCTATAAAGACAGTAAATCAAAACTGCAGTGATATTATCACATTCCAGCAACACAGGTGAAGTACAGGAACTTGAAAGACCATGTCTTAAATCTAAAAAGCTTTGTTTGTTTTTACAGGCATCACTGGAAGTTCCCAGAAGCAGGTGATGCAATTTAATTGCAATTTATAAACCATCAGAAGCAAGGTAGATCAACGAAAGTCACCCTTGATGTAAAACACCCCTAATTCATTTTCTGCCTGATCGATTATATAAAACATTAGCTGGCAAAACTCATGCATATGACTCACCAGTAAGGACACATTCCTTACAGGTTATTAGTCTAATGGGATACAGAGCAAAATGCTTTAGCATTCCAACAAAGAGGTGAAAACTAGGAACAAACCTAAGCCAGGGTTCAGTGTTTAGTCATGTGAGTTACATGGATAAACAACAAATTCTTATGTGGCTGTTATCACGGAGACCTGCCTTGTTACCTGGAGGAATTATGGTATCTGATTAGATAGATTGGCATCCCTGGGAAAAAGAGGGGAGTAAAACTTTAAAGCTTATGATAATCAGGAAATAGCAAACAAATAAATGTCAAATAGCCTAAAGATCACATAAAGGCAAGCATGAAAACTGAGCTAAGGAAAAGGTGTGCAAACAAGGAGAAAAGATGTTTTTCTGCAAACAGACTTGGGTACTACCTTTGCTGTGTCTTCTAACGTAAGAGTGTGTAATCCATATATGGAGTTCTCTATTCCAGTTACTGTGCAAAGCTATGTAAAACAAAATTGAGCTTTATAGAAGGGACCAGGTTATTCTTTTTTTAGTGATTTGTATCATGCTAAGCCTCTCAAAATTTTCACTTGCGTAAATGGAAGGAACTCCCTTCTCGCTTTTTCTACTGAATAAGCAGTAACTAAGGAGGGAAGTGAAGAAAGAAATGTAAAGAAGTGTGTCTGATCTCTCTACTGACCTCTTGAGAGAAATCAGACTGAAGGGAAGAACACCTCTAGTCTCCATCAGCTGGGGTGCAACAGCAGAAGTGGGACTAGTTCTATCAACATGGGATTTGTGCTGAAGGAACAAGCGAGAGGAAACAAATCACATTCCAGTCTCTATCACCATGTACACTCGTGCTGTTACCACACCATCTCCTCCTCAGAGTGATGCTAAAAAGCAAAGAGCTTTACTGTTAAAAATGTGGAACAAGTTCTCGCACGTTACATACCAGGCAAAGAATGTATAAAGGCCCAAACTTCGTCAACAGTCCATACTGATGGGTCTGCTTGCACCACTGGTAACAAGTCAATGCTCTCTGGCATTTTCCTAATTCTTAGTTCCCTAAGTTCACGCTCCCTCTCTCTTTCACTCTGTCTTCGCAGACGCGTGGTCATGGCAGCTGGCACAGCATCTTCGTGAGAAGCCAGATCTTCTTCTGCGGATGGGTAAGTAACTGGAAGCTGGAAAACATCGCACAAATACACTGCAGTATTATATTTTATTTGTAATTCCCCAAACAATGTCATAGTTTTAAGCAAATATTCCACAGACCTGTCTAAGAAAATGATCTCGTGACGCCCCATCAGGGCCACTCGGTCGACGCCCGCGTCGCCCAAGACTTTGGCTATCTGATTTCCGATTCCAACGATTGGTCTTGTCTGATGTAAACAGCCCAAATTTCTTAGTGCAACTAAGGCTGTGCCTAAAGAAGTAAGATATATTCAAATAATGCACTAATAGCTTTTTGGACTGAATTCAATAAACTTAGCAATAAAACGACATTGTTGTCTACAGAAACGCTGTCTAATTAAAGACAACAACTGGTGTCACAAATATAAGAGAGAAAGGTATCTCAAAGGCCATGTACTCTAAACCATTTGTCTTGAAGGGAGGCAAGTACATCTAGATCATCCCTGGAAGATGTCCATTTTTCCTGCTCTAAAAAAATTTCCAAGATAAAAAACAGCTTTGGATTTTATCATATACTACAATCCTACTTCTCTAAAACATCCTCTAAAAGCTTAATATCATATTACATCTTTTGCTTCCATTTTCTTTACCCAGCTGATACCCAGTCAAAGGAGGACGAAAGAAGGGCCAATTGCCTTTTGAATATTATTTCACTAAAAGTTTCCCAGCAGCTACCAAATAAAACATACATTCCCACTATGTAAAGCAGGAATGTCTCAGGCTGGGGATGAAAAAAGCAGGAGACATAAGAGAAAGGGGGTCTCAAGGTACACGGATGAGGAAAAAAAACAACTAAGTGGCACCTAAAAACTATTCCCCATTTCTAAAATATTTGGGATTAAATATCAATTTTCCAGCTGTAACGATGGAAGAGTTTACATTCAGGTGTTGATTATGACTTGTTCCTCTAAAACAAAACAAAATAAAAAAGTGTACGAAACCCAAAGAAAAACAGAAATCAGCCGTCATTTTCCTTTGCCAAGCAAAGAGCAGCATTTAATATTTTCAAGAAAGGAGAAGCTTTAGAAAACACTAAGTTTATGGTTCCACTATTTCTATTCTGCTCTATGCAAGTCATGATTATTTTTTTTGCAAAGGGAAGACAATCAGAATACGACAAATATAGTGATTTATGACCCACAGACTTCTGCACCAATTTCCAAACACTTTCTAACTTTTAATGGATACCCATCAGCATTCCTCTAAGTCCAACAGCATTCATGGCTTCCTCTGAAAGAGTTCTATAATGTAACTGTAAGTCTGTCTTGAAATAAATCAATCCACCATAGTCTTTCGTACCAATATAGTCTGCAAATTTGGACAGAAAGCAAACATTTTTCACTGCTTCTTTATTTTTCAACATCAGACAGTACTTGGGGGCTACTCCAATAATCAGGTAACACTAGGCAATAACTAGAGGAGAGTACCTTTTGGCACAGGATGTAGAGCAGAATCGTTTTGACCGCAGAAACTTGTTAGAATATCCCATTTTCCCACAAAATTCACACTTCAGAAGATCATTTTCAATCTCATCCAGTCCTTCTAAAGGAAGGAACGAGGCACAAAGGTTAGTTTCAATGAAAAAATTTGTTCAAGTTTCTCATCTCTTTAGCAGGCAGGTAGAAGACTTTCAAATATTTAATACATGTCATGAAATACTTTAATTAACAGAAAATTATGCCTAACTAAGAAAATCATAGATTTTACTCTCCATGTTAAAAAACTTTAGTGAACTGAATGATGAATGAAATTATTCATGGAACTTAGTCAGCTTTTTTTGTTACATTTCAAACCATCCATGAGCAGGTATGCCCTCAAACATAGCAATCAACTAAAAAAAAATAGTCACAGTCCTACAAATTGCTTATAAAGAGGTCACTAAGAGAACCATGCACTATATGTTCCAGATTCAAGCTCTCCTGTAATGAAATAAAGTTGTACATTTACATTAAAGTTGTAAATACTTCCTTTGAATAAGCAACAGCTACAACCAAAAGGAGAACTTGTGAAAGCAAATAAGACATTGAATCTTATCTATTAAAAAGATAATGTGCATATAAGAAGAAAAGGATTATAGTGTCCGCCAATTTGTAGTCTATTGTTACGCAGTATTTTTAATGATATTGCTGAGATAGGAAGCACTTTTCCTGTTGCCCATGAAGAACTCAAACAACAGCTGAGAGAAACAGAATCACAGAATCGTCTAGGTTGGAAGAGACCTCCAAGATCACCTAGTCCAACCTCTGACCTAACACAAACAGTCCCCACTAAACCATATCCCTAAGCTCTACATCTAAACGTCTTTTGAATACTTCCAGGGATGGTGACTCCACCACTTCCCTGGGCAGCCCATTCCAATGCCTAACAACCCTTTCGGTAAAGAAGTTCTTGCTAATATCCAACCTAAACCTCCACTGGCACAGCTTTAGCCCATTCCCCCTCGTCTTGTCGCCAGGCACGTGGGAGAACAGACCAACCTCCACCTCGCTACAGCCTCCTTTAATGTACTTATAAAGAGCGATAAGGTCGCCCCTGAGCCTCCTTTTCTCCAGGCTGAACAAGCCCAGCTCCCTCAGCCGCTGCTTCTAAGACTTGTTCTCCAGGCCCCTCACCAGCTTTGTCGCCCTTCTCTGGACTCTCTCGAGCACCTCAATGTCCTTCTTGTAGCAAGGGGTCCAAAACTGAACACAGTACTTGAGGTGCGGCCTCACCAGAGCCGAGTACAGGGGGAGAGCCGAGTACAAGGGAAGAAGCATCAGTGAAAGATGTAGGAAAGCCCAGAAAGCAGTACAAGGTAAGAAGGCAGCATTTGTCACATGCTGAATGGCTACATCCTATTCTGCTGGAAGAGAATGTTGTGGGTAGAGCATGGTTTGTACATAATTTAGAAGAACGCCACCATCTCTGCAAACCAACTTGCCTTTTGGCATAAAAAAACAAAACAAAACACCCAAACTTATCCCCATGTACCATCTGTGAAACACATCATTAGGAGCAAAACTGGCACAAACCGAAGTGTAACATTCCGTGTTCATTCACATAAGCAAAAGAACTGCATGCCACATGGCTGCAATCATGGACAAAACATTTATTTAAAAAAATCAGTGAGCGAAACAGACATCCATTTCTTCCGCATTTCTTATTTATCTGAATCGGTTTCATATACTTTGCTTCTTGCTATTCATCTTCTACATCCATATTTTTAATTTTACACAACTCATTGCAAATATTGCAGACTATGTTTTTGTTCAAAACTCTTTGTTAAGCTCTAATGCCAGCTAACACAAACACATATCAAGGTTTAATTAAGAGATTTTAGCTATGAATGTTAAAATTGTTATAGTGACATTACCTCACTAATTAGTGTGCTGATAACGTGATAAATAAAACAGCACTAATGCAAAGTTGAAAAGGCTGAAATAGTTATTTGAATAACTTATCTGATGTATCAGGATTCAAAGGCATAAACTGAAGTCAACAAAAACTTATGTAGTGTCAGACTGACCACGTTATAAGTTGCCAGCTTAAGTTGGTATCACGCATGAAGTAGAGACTGGAAGATGGAAGCTTACCAAACCTGACCAACTTTGAAAATTAAGTTAAATACACACTAGAGAGCCATCCTTCAAACAAATCATCCTTTCTATTAAAAAAAAAAAATGCACAAACCAGGTCACATGGAATAAAGTGACTACAGATGAAATTGAAAATTGATTAAAGGCCTTCTCTTCAGCATTTTAGGTGTTTCTACCCTGTAAATGCAATCTATATCTCGGTTTAGCATCAGAAAATCTCCTTTGATTGACTTCTGCGTATGTGGCTCCCTCCCAATACTGGATATTTCCTTGTTTGTCTAATGAGTAGCTGCCAATTGCGAACATAAGCCTAACAACCAGCTTCCAGGAATGATAACTGAAAGCAAAAGCATGAATGTTTGAATAATTGCATGAAACAACAGACACACTGTTTGACATCTGAGAAACAGCACAGTGTTAATGCTGAAAGGTTCTTAGGGAATGCTTCTGAAACCAAAACTGAACTAAGATCTACTGTAACAAACTGACTATTGCAACCTAAAAGACCTAACATACTTGATTTCCTTGTTCCAAAAAAAAACAAAAAAACAAAAAAACCCAAACCCAACAAACTACAAAAAACGTGATGATGAGTGCTTCTGTCACTGCGTGAGGAAATTTGATGGTTTTAGCTCATGAGCTTTGTTAGAGACCACTGTATTCTAAGCAGGACAGTATACGTTTTCTTGACATTTGTGTGCACCCACAGCAATTTCTGTCATTATGTATAGGTAGTTATAAACATTTGAAAACAGTATCTTTAGAGATAGTATAAAGACTGGAGGAAGATTCCAGATGTACAGACAGGATGGGATTCTGTAATACATACAGACCAGAAGGGAAGAATGGATAATTAAACAAAAACTACAAACCTTCTGCAATCATATCCTCTATCTCTGTGTCCGATGAGTTGTCTGCATGTTTTGTATTCTGCAAGTCTGATTCAACACACATAACACTCATGATTTGACCCTCCACTAGCAATCTTTTTTCTGCAGGCTGTTCTACCAGCAAAGATGAACGACTTACCTATTGCAATAAAAGCAAAGCAACAATGGTTAACTGAAGAATGAATGACTGGAAACAGTATTTGTGACTAATCACACAAAGCTCAGTAAGGGGGTTGCTGGTGCTTTAAACAAAGTTTTTGACGTGAAAGTGCTACTGTATACAAAGACTCATCGCAGAGGTTTAAATTATTGCTTAAATTGAGGTATCTAAGAGAAGTGTAAAACAAAGTTAGTGCAAATGTTAGCCTAAAATAACTGTTGTTATCTCTGGATAGCCTGCCTACTCAGCTGTGTCTCTGTTTCATTTCGTATCTTGTCATCCAGTGATACTGGCAAGAAAAACAGCAGCACAAATTCAGATTAAATAAGACAAGTATACTGAAATGCTGTTAAGAAACAGGTTACCAAACAGGGAAAAAAGGTCAACTCCAATGTTTGCAAATGTATTCAAGGTTTAATGACCTTGAATTATTATTATTAGCTATTAGAAATAAACAGCATCATCTTTAAGAATGGTTTGTTTTAAGAATTAGTAGCAAAACTTTCAGAGTAACTTTTACACTTACAGGGAACGGCTCCAACCCCTCCTGAATCACAAAGCCTTCAATAACATGGGTCAGGATTTGTGGTTTAACGATAGCCTGTGGAGGTTTATTTTCTAGACTAGGAATGCTATTGGGCATTGATGTGCTGTTACTCCTTGTTGTTGCTGCTGGAAGCAAAAGAGGTGGTGGTGGAATAGAAGCATGTGAAGGATCAGATGGAGATTTAATTACTGAGGCACTGACTGACGATGTCACTGAAGGTATTCCCACATGGTCTGAAAAACATAAGGTATGTTATATTTTTGTGACTTATGTCCAAACATTCGCTTAGAATTCTAGAAAGTAGAAATGACAAACAAACACACCCAGCTTTGTATGTATGATCCTATAACACAGGCTTTTCTCTATAGTTTATAGACTTTACCTTCAAAACCAGATGATTTTCCTTGACAGACTAGTCCACAACCAAACAGTTCTTGAGTATCATTTTCCTTTACTAAGTACTGATTAACTATAACCATAGTTGCCCATGAGAAAACATTTGAAAAAAGTGACTTCCTATACAGATCTCAAATCCACGAGACAAAACCAGAAACCACTCTATTCAAACATGTGATTCTCAAAACAAAACTGCTGAGACATTTTTTTAAAGAGAAAATATTTTCAGGGTTGCTCTGAGCCTTGCTAATCTTTAGAGACACAAAAATACACAATATCAGCTGTAGGTATAGAAACCTGGGTATCAGAACCCGAATTTGGGAGGGTTGTACCTCCTGGTGTTCTGAAAGATGTTACATACATTCATTATTACACTTATATACGTGTGTGCATATACACACATGCAGATATACACGGTGCCATAGATACAACTTTCTGCTGAAAACTCGATTTTCTGAAAAATACTTTGGAAATACAGGCAAGCTCATAACTTACACAGGAATCTACTTCTTCAGGTATGGAAAGAGTACTTGTACTTCATTTTGGACAGTGTTGGCTTTTAGCTCTAGTAAACATCCTATCTGATCCAAACATCAGTTACCATGTTTTATTTACAAAGAATAAGAAGAATATTTTGTCCTCTTCTCTTTCTCATTTATTCCAGGAACTGATCAGCACAGAACAAGCTGAACATTCATAACTGATCTGTGAAGCATCCTGTCTTTGTAGCTTCAGCAGAAATCAGTATATTCAGCACATCAGGGGAAGTTAACATTAATTTGCAGCACAAAAATTGATATAGGCAGGTATATTTTTTACAGTTCTCTGGAAAAAATGTTCATTAGTAGCTTTTGCAATACAACTGCTCATAACTGTGCATATCAAAAAAAGAATCATACCATGTAAGCAACCATTCTGACAGCTCCTTCTAATTGTTGATCCTGATTTTGTGAAATCAAGCTTCATACCAAATCAGCCAGCTATCACTTACAGAGTACCTGGAGACTGATACTCCTGTTAAGATTTTAGTATTATAAAAGTATACACTAAAGAGCTGAAAAGCTGTTTTTGTACTACATTACCCAAATACATATACAGTTACGCCTTTGGGATTGAGTAATTCATTCTATCACAAGTGTTTCTAGCATGCTTTATAGAGTTTCTTTACTTAAAAAATTATAATCTCAAAGTATAAAAAAGATGAAAACCTGACATTTTTGCTTTAAAACATCACTAGCTAGTTCCTAAGCAGAGCAGCTACTTTAGTTTTACATCTGTTCTCACCTGATAAAGGCTCTTCTGAATTAAGTGCCTCTCCATTCCCCAAGGTTATGGCTGGCGGGGACAATGTCGGTGGTGTCGGTGTCCTAACCATATTGACACAATCAGATTCCTCAGGCATCTCTTCTTCACATACATTCTCCACCTGGTAAATCTGCATTCAACAAACTACTGCTTTAATGATTTCAAGTCTACCATAATAATCATTTTCTATGCAAATTATTTTCTATTTTATACAGCAGTGTAGTCAAGCTGAGTTCCTCAGGAGCGAATGCCAAGACTAATAAAAGCATTATTGAAAAGGTTATAAGGTATTTTCCTAAAAATTACAAAAGTGAATTTACATTAATAACTGACAGCTAGCTTAGCAGATCAGGATGTAAAACATTACCTTCTTAAAAGTATAACTGAGTTCTATTATTTTGTCCAATTTTTGCATGAAATATCAGAGAATTGGGATTATCATTACCTCAACATGAATTAAAAATACAGAGCACACCATCTTCCTTAATCTCTTGGTAGACCAGATTCTTTACATAAGTCAAGGATGAAGGACTGCAATATTTCATTGGCCTGACTGTCCCATGTCCCCATAACAAAGAAAAAGCAAAGCTGTATTTGAAGTACTTTGAAAGTACAGTGGAGTCCCCAGTTCATGAGTGGCATACTTTAATGGGAAGACGTGTCCATCATTTAGATTTCCTTATTTCCTGCATTATACACAGTGAAATTCAGCTTGAATGAGTACTGTGAGCCAAAGAACTGGGCTCTCTATTCATGAGGTACATAGCACAAATTCTGATTTCAATTCCCTTTTGAACATTTCTGCAATCAGCACTGCTCTATTAAGAAAAAAAAAGAGTTCTGCAAAGACAGCAAGATGACTTGTTTTGACAGACTAGTACCCCAAAATACAACTTTTGAACACCTTGCTGTATTCACCTACCTCTGTCACCTGTCTCTCTAAAGCCAGCTTTCACAACTAGAATGGTTTTGAAAAACAGGTACTTTCACAGGTCTGGTTGACTTTGCTTTGTGTGGTCAGAGATGACATCAAAGAAAGGGTTTTTCATTCTCAGTTTAATTCTAAAATTAGAGGGTTTCTGAGCACTTACCACCGGAGTTTCAATTGGTACTGACGGCTGCACTTGAAGATTTACTGCAACAGTCTGAGGTGGTGGAAGAGTTTGAAATGGCAGCTGGACCAAAGCTTCTGCAGCAGGAAGTTCTTCCTCAGAAACCAAAGTGTTTTGAACCAAAACCTGGCCCTGGGATAGAATTTCAGGCTGAACTTGTAACGACTGAACAGACTGCAGTGGCAGTTGTTGAATCTGGGTTGAAGATGTTGACAGCTGTGGAGGAGCTGCAAGAGGGATAGGTGTGGACTGCAAGGCTGAGTATTGCTGGTGTGGTGTGGAGGACACTATCTGTTGGCCCGAGGAAACCAAGCTGGGCGGATCTACTGATCCTATATGTACAGCAGGGGAGGGTGGAAGTGGGAGATGTGGCGGAAGGTTAAGTGGCTGTGCAATTGGTCGAACTGGGTTGGTAGCAGTTTGCTGAGCAGCACCCTGCTCAGGCTGAAGAGCTGTTGGCACGAGGGAATTTGCCTGTGACTGGATAAGTGCTTGAGGATGAATGATTATGGTGGGTGACTGGCTAGGGGAGTGAGAAGGTGGAGGGGAGACCACAACCGACTGCTGAGCTGACTGGGATGGAGTGGGAGATAACGTCAGAGGTGGAGGATGGATGTGAATAGGTGAGCAATGAGACTGGACGCTGCTGGGAGCTGGAGGAAGACCATGGCTTGGGAGTGGCAGACAGTGCTGTGACGGAGGGGGCTCCTGACCAGGAGGAGTCTGAAGTGCAATCGGCTGGACTTGCTGCTGCTGTTGCAGTATCAGCTGATGATGTGAAATCTTTGGAGGTGGTGAATGAAGTGGGATCTGCTGATGTTTTACCAGAGAATGAGGTTGCAATGGAGAATATGAAGCTGTGAAGGGAGGAAAAAAAAGTGACAATTAGCAATTATTTCCTTAGCTCCAGAGAACATTATAGAAATAATGAAAGAAAGGAAGCTTTTACTTTAAAGTAAGCCCAACACAACTTTTTCAACCCTTTGGATCCACATTTAGAAACATTTTATTTAACAGCATATAGTGCACAAGACGAATTTAAAGGAATATACCAGTTTCCAAAGCAAATGCAGCAATGAATAAATTAACATAGCCACACATTGTACATATACTGAAAATACATATACATATATAAGATTATCTGCACATCTTTTTGGTGCTAGTTCTAAGATCATAGCTGATCCAGCCTTCTCTTTTATTTAAGAATTTCATGCATTTGGATTTCATCCAAATGGATTTAACCTTTGCTTTGAAAGAGACTGGAATGGAAGAAATAAGCATGTCATAACAGGATTTGTTCCAAACTGCTAAGTTAAATTTAGGTAATATAAGAGACTCCAAACAAAACAGCAAGAGTTCAGTATGAAGCAAAAGCATTTAAAGTATTTGCCTGAATGTGAAAGCACAAACTGAAAGGTATGAATCTAAAAATAGTGCAGCTTCCAGAGATATCACATCACCTTTAAGTGAACCAGTGACTCACTAGTAATTCCTTAGAGCATTTGAGTGTATGCAGACACATATTTTGCTCTACGTGCAAGCCTCTTCTTGCTTCCCTTTTCCACTTGAGAAATGATTTGCCTTTTTTTTTATTATTTATTCTGCTAGTAAACATGGACTTTATTCCTTCTAGAAACAAGTTCCAAGAGCATTAGGGCTCAATAACTCAAGCATGTCTTATTCTTTCTTTAAAAGCCGCCATTAAATTAAGCCAAGCTAAATCCCCAGAATTGAGACCAATTATCTAGATAACCATTACTCTTTCAAAATTATGATGCTAAAAATCAAATGCGTTGCATGCAATGTAAATGCATATCTAACCAGCTGTATGCTTCTCCTGATGTGTTACTTAATACAAAATACTAAGATTGTGGGACACTATTACAAATGGATTTTTTAAAATTATTTAATATAAAAAATCATTCAATGACAAGACAAGCAACAAAATGGACTTTGGAGACAGCAACAGGCTTGAGGTTGTTTCAACCCACATATTTCTTCACTACGTTTGGAGATGACATGTCATGACAGTGAGCATACACAGTTACCAGTAATGAGAATTATGTTTGTACTGGATTCAGCTGTATGTTGCAATTGCTACATTGTGTTTGCACTGTGATTTCAGAACAATGCTGTATCACTCTGCTGAATCAAAATCCTGCCTAACGTCAAATATCAACAAAGAAGTACATTTAGTATTAAACATTAAACTCTTCATGTGGAAGATATAAAAGATCCTGGTCAGTGAGCAATGGACCCTGACAGAACTGTAATATACAAATTATTTTAAAATAATTTATATTATAGCTTCATTTTCACCCTACCTGGTGTTATTAACTGGTGTATGCTTGATGTCCGTGTGACCGGCGTACTCCGACACTCTGGAGTTGGGCTATCACCTTTTCTATTGCTCTCGGAGGGATCTGGTTGGCTGCCCTTGGTACTGCTCACAGGTTTATTAGCGCACAGAGACAACGACTGAGTCTGGCTGCTGCTCTTTGGTGGGCCATTCTGCGAACTTGACAACACACCCAGCTTCTGACTGCGCAATGTCAAGTTTTGAACCTAGGAAAATGGGTAAAATGTAAACAAAGACAAAAACATTCATGACAGACATCCAGACAGAAACAGACAACATTAACTTTACTGATTTGATGTTATACTTCTCATCCCACCTTATCAAAATATCCGAGAAGTTAAAAGTCTCCATATCCAAGTATCTTAAAGTCACCAAATATACAGAAAAACAGTGATCGTGAGGTACTTCAGTGATAAATACAGCAGCCTTTTTTCCTTATTGAAGTTTAAAAAATAAAGGATAATTACATTACTATTACATTACACTAATTTGAATTAAAACTTGTATTTTTTTCTCCCTTTAACTCTCATAGTAAATTCAAAGTGAATGACAGAACACATCTTAAACACAATTTTATTTTTATGCAGACACTACCGAAATACAGCGGTGAATATGTTTGCAGAAGCTAAAATAAACCAGAGCCTTGGGTAGCGATAGTGACAAGAATGTGCTGTATATTATTCGTATCTTAATACACTTGAAAGTACCTTCTTTCTACAGCAATACCTTTTTACCACAGCTCTAATATCACATAAAACAATGTAAGCCTTCTGAAATGCGTATTAGTCAGTGATTCACTGATGTGTGTTAAAACGCAGCCAGCTTCTGTACATCTTGACCCCAGCTTTCCAGTCCTACATGCTGAGCTAAAATTTTATTTCAAGGACAAAGACTACCCTAGCAGAGCACTAATGTATGTCATACTTCACGTGAAAAAAAAAGAGGACTAATTATTGCCATCCACTTTTTGATTATTTATGCTCTTCCTCATTCCAGTTAGTACTTGTGTAATGAACTAGTTGGCGTTTTACTTCCCACTGTTCAGTGTGTTACCACAGGGTAACAGGGTGTGCTCAAATCCTGTTCTGAAAACAACAGCATTTGTTTCCTAGCTGGCATGCATGATGCATTTACTGCAATCCTAGCTGTTGCAGCAGGGGAGAAAATCTATGAATAAGCAGATGTCTGAGCAAATAGAACAACTGGGATGAGATTATTCTGGAGTTTGTGAGCACCTAATGGCTTACACTAATCAAGATGCTCCAAATTTAATATCGTCACTCCTGAAGACCAACGTTCAAAAGAAGGTCCCGTTCCAGCTTGTGTTTTTGAAAGGGATGCTTCTGAAACGTATGAAGGATATAACATCTGACCTAATAAACCCAGTCATGGAAAACCCCCACAGTGCCACAAGCACTCTGCTGTCAGACTCTTTGTTTTCGCAGTTAAGATGAATCTATTCAGTGTGGGAAGCAAAAGGTCAACTTAGATTTTGGAAGCAACAGTAGGAAGGCTTTACCATGACCTTTCATCAGAACCCTGCGATAAATAAGAGCCCAGGTCTCACAGTCCAGCCTACAGTATAATCAAGGTAAGGTTCCCGTTAAACTCATTCTCTCAGCATGCCATTTGGTCTGCTGAAAGTTCATAAAAAAGGGAAAGAGAAGGTTAAAAAAAAAAAAAAAAAAAAAAAAGAGCCCAACATGCTAAGAAAGGCTTGCCAACCAGGGAATAAATGCCAGCTCCTGTTCTTCCTCATATAAATTTGACCAAGCTAACTGCCCATTTTAACACCCTCTTGCAATAATGAGAACAATACAACCAATTTTCCTGACATAGCACTGCACTGAATTCCCAAAGCTGTTATGCTAGCTAGGCAGTATCACCTATAAAAAAAATACTTGCTCCACTACAATCCTTTAAAGAAAAAAAAAGTGCTGCAGCAGAAGATAAAAGACCTAATTGCTCATTTACTGGAAGTACTAGAATAAAGGTAAATTAGATCAGACTGGGAAGGCAGCTACCAGCAAGATACAAGGACAACGCCCCCAGTAAGGACAGAGCTACCAGTTTCTGGATATGTTTTCAGTGTCCTCCCTACCCACATCATGTACAAAATTGTGCAACAAAGAGAATGAGGAGGCAAGAATAAAGAGGTTTGCATTTCTTCACTTTCTCACTGTATCTCAAAGGTAAAACCTTTCCCCCTTTACCCTTAATTTTACTTGGGTATCTTTAAACCAGCAGCATGAAATTAATGGTACTCAGCAGGTGACATGGAAAGAGTTCTACATCAGGTAAAATGAGGAATTTGTTTTCTCATGTTGCACACTGACAAAGCTTCTTGTGTAACAAAGGGGCAATCTGCTTCATGATTCAGCAATGACCTGGTAATGCATTCCCTTGCAGCTTTTGTGTCTGTAATTTTTTTTCTCTGTCTGAAGGCCAAAAAGTTAGATGTGAAAGGTTGACTAAAAACTAAATTCAGTAGCTTCTGGGGAATCCAATCCAAGAGCTTTTGGACTTGCTTATCACTGCAAACCTTGTCCATGCCTACAACAAGGCAATTTTTCATTCCTGTATTTAATGAATTGCTTAATTAAGGAATATGGTGAAAGCATATCTAGGACTAGTGCAACTACTCTCAAGTTTTTTATTTTCTAGGTTATTCATTTTAGCTGCAAAGTTCTGCCAAACACACTTACCTTTTAAAAATAAACTGGTTATGCTCTAAAATGTAGCACCAAATTACCACAATTGGGCTTTATCAACCTTAACAGTTCTAAATGACCTCAAGAATGAAATGTTAAAAGAGTAACTACAGAAGGAAATCTTTTTCCGAACTTGGCACAAGAGAACTAGAAGGTGCAACTAGCACAATGCAGATTTTTCAGAAGTAGTTTGGGAAGATCTGTAGAAGTAAAAATAGTAAATCTGGTACCTCCAATTGCCAGAGTACTAGAAATTATAGCAGAGAACCAGACGTGCCCTACAACAAGCAATATGACTTTCGTAAAGCAGGTAGCAGCTCACTGATCTAGTGGAATCTTCTGAAGGGATCCACAAACACAAGCACAAAGAGCATTCAACTGGCATAATTTACTTGGATTTCCAAACAGTTCCAAAACAAGTCCATTAGCAGAGTCTTTCAAATAAATCCCTAAAATAGAAGGGAAGGTCTTTCATGAGAGCATAAATTTGTTGGAAAAATGTTTGCTTTTCACAGCAGGAGATGGTGACTAACATTCTGTAGAGGTCTGTGCTGTCCCATATGGTTTTCCAGATCATATACAAATTTCATGTTTCAGTGAAATGACAACACTAGTTCAGCTGATAATGTGAAATTATTCAAGGTAATAAAGATGAGAGAGAAGATTACGAAGAGCTGAAGCGTCATATCCAGGACCCCAGTTTTACATATAACATGATCACCTCTAAACGTGTGATGATGGTAAACAGAAAACACTAAAGATGTACAGAAACAGTACCCATTATTAATTTTTAAAAGGAAGTAAAACTTAAGCGCAACGTTTCCTTACTTGTGAGTTTTGGCACACTCTACTGGACACAAGCTCACCTGAGTAGCTGCAGACTGACAGGAAGATGAGGAAGATGATGAGACAACAGGAATGTCAGACTGGACAGCAGCCACAGTGGTAGCAGGAGTAAAAATTAGCTGTTAAGCAAGAAAAAAATATCAGGTAATAGACTGAAATGTTGAAAAATATGTAAAAAAAAAAAAAAAAAAAAAAAAAAAAAAGCAACATTTTACTTTTAAAGTGATACATAAGTTACATGCAGTGATGCACAGCTTCTCTTTTTTTTACTTTTAGAGGAACTTGTTCTAGTAACAATTTATTGCAGTAGTTTAAGTAAATAAAATGAAAAGATAATGTAAAATATTTGTTCTACATATTCAGAAACATTTATTATACACACACACACACTTATTAGCTTTCACACAAGCATTTTAAAAAAGGCTTTCCCTCCGATATTACAAATGAGTGAAACAAAGGCAAACAAGTTGGCCAATTTCTACAATATTGTAAAGAGAGAAAACTCGGAGTATCTTACAATCTGTCATTAACAAACAGGGCTGTTATATCAACTTCAACTATGCTAATTAAGTTTTATTGCAAGAACAGGTATCGCACAACCAACCTCAAATTACTAATTTCAGTGTATTGGCATGCCTAATTGTCATTGATTTCCGTAGTGACAGTAAAGTAAAGGCAAGTCTTATGGAAGGCTTTGCAGAGAGACCATTAGTCACTTCCCTTATTTTTAAAGATATGTCAACTGCAAGGAGCAGCTAGGAAGAAAACATGAAGTTACTTAGCTAGAAGTGAATCAAACTGGTGATGAGGCTATTGTTATAGACTAACTACAGATGAGAGTTGACCTTTTTACAGAAAGTCCTTGACAATGAAGGAAAAACATTAATTTTGATATGTTAGAAACACTGAAAGATTGAAAGAGGTATGACGTGCTACCAAGAAGGGCAAAATGATCTTGCAATATCATCCTAAACAGAAACTAACAGAGTGTAAGTTTCTCTCTCAAAACTGGGATGTAAGATGGTTATTGAAATAAGCAGGAAATTTGATGTAAAGAGTCTGGATGAAAACTTAGTGTGAATAGATATGAAAACCATATCCAAAAATCCATGTTGTTGAGACAGATTGCTACTATAAAAAGCAGCAACCTCATCCCATATTGTTTCCACCACTAATTTGATAACACATATTGAAAGGCAGTGACATGATGGATTCCTAGCTTTCTGTTAACTAGTACTAGGTGATTTCGGCATCTAGGTTTGCTTACAAACCAAAGACTCAGGAAATCCTTTTGCTGTCAAATTGTTGGTGTTTGATCTTTAAATCCTTATCTTGAATTCATACTGCTTTTTCAATAAACATGTAAGAAAAGAGCCTCCAAAGAAAAAGCTCACATCGCATAACACCATTGCTGGGCAAGCCTAAGAAAAAACTCAGAAAAAGAACAAAGAAAAAACTTTCATAAACACGCTTCACAGGTGCAGTTCCTGCAAGAACTCGTGCCTGCATCTAATTTTATACATCACTGCAGTCACAGACCTCTGACTCTCAGTGTAGCGTAACAGTGATTCTTCCTGTTTCATGTAGTTGAACGTAACATGTCAGAAAGCTCTAGGCATGAACTCCCACGGGCCATGGGAGTATAACTTCAGTGTTCACGTATAACTTCAGTAATTCCTATGAAATCCCACACAGCCTGTGAGGATCAATTCATACAAGACTCACTACACAGAGTATTAAACTAAATAAAGTAAAATCACTATAATGATTTTTCAGAGTTGCCCATAAAGAAATGGAAATGTCGCACTAATAGGAATTGGGAAGAACCTGATGAGTTTCATGTGAATCTAAGAAGAATGAAAGCTACATATCCAATTCATGTTCTAGAGACAGTAATCTAAAGAACAATCTTAGCTAAATGCAATTAAATTTTCCTCAAGAGACTGAGCTCTGAATGTAACCAATGTATTGGAAAAAAACTGCCCTGAGCATAAACTCTAATATGTCCCTTTATGTAGCCAGATCAGACATGCTCTTTTTCCTTTTTTCCCATGCTCGATCAATTTACCAACATAGTATGACCAGGCTAAAAACATATGAATGAATTTTGACAGAACTAAGCTACAGCAATCCTTTCATTCCTTTGACATCTAAAGTGTTTCAGTGATATGTACACAAAGATTAATAACTAAATTCTCAGTGCTACCTGAAACTAAAGAAAAATTCTTATAATTTCTAGAAATAAAATAAATAAGAACTGGAACAGTAAAATTTCAGGGAACAAAAAACAACAACAACAAAAATCCAAACTTACCATTTGAGCTCGGAGATACATTTGAGCCTGGCTTGCACTCAGGGTTGGCGAGGTGCTCCCCAGCAACATAGTCTGTTGGGTAATACTGCTGCTGGTGGTGTTGGAGGTCTGTGAACGGCTTATTATCTGTGCAGGTGTAGGAGAGGTGGAGAGGTTAATCTAAGGAAACAAAAATATTGCTTCTGTCATGGAAATTCAATCATCCTAGGGTCTAAAGCCAGAAAGCCTTTCACAAAAATGGCAGGGTCAGTTGAAACCTCTGAACTGTAAAGATATCAAAAATGTATTGAGCCAAACGTCACAAAACTAGATTCTGGCAAGACTGCACATTTTCATTCTCGAACCACAAGCAATATTTAGCAGTACACAGTAATAAGCATTAACGAATATAAACAACGATGTTATGAAGCCTGAAAAAAATAAATCTCACAGAAATACGTATTTACATAACACATAGCATGAGCTTATCAAATTTTAAGAAAAATGTTTGAATCTTAATACTTAAGTATCTTTAAATGCTTTTGTTATCTGACTGGACTGACAACTTCTGAGATGCTCATTATGAAACTTGACCAAGGTGCCTGTTTGTGCTGCCGTACTTTGATTCCTCATATGCACACTTAAAAATGGTCTGAGATTAAAGTTTTCTACAATTTCATATTAAATGCTCCTGGAAAAATTATTTTTAGCACCTGCTCAAGCAAAAGCTGGTTGTTTTTTGTTTTTACTAACACATCTAACAGAGTTAAGTGCCCAGCTCTTTTAGATCACTTTGAGATTTTCTTCAAAATCCAAGCCCAATTATTCTGTTAGTTTAACATCAGGCATATTTGAAAACCTTCCCTCCTAAATTTAATAATGAATGAATGATTTTACTTCTAACGACTGTAAGCCAAAGCAGTGCTATGAGAGCTTAAAACACAACAACAGTTAAATCACTGAAGCTACGCACTGAAGCCATGAACAGCTTGAGGGCATGATTAATAAGCAGGATGTCTGTAGGACTAACGAAGTCCTACTGAAGACAACTGTAGAAGTGTACATAGAAGGCTGTGCAAATTACATATCTGAAGATGTCATTTAAGGAAATGCAGCATGAACTGAACACAGAGACACTAACAACTGAAACCTTAGCACATGCTTAGGATATGGATAAAGTAATTTAAAGTGCATAAAGATGCATGATAAAAGATGACAAAAGAATGAAAGCTATAAACAATTTAACCAGTTTCATATACTGAAGTGAGCAATGACTTGGATTCTTTAGATTCGGTGCTCCTTAATCACTGGTACACAGAGTTATGATTTTGAACTACAACAGTGCCCTGAATAAAGAAACTAATGTGAAAAATCCAGTAAGAAATCATGTAAGAGATGAAAGCTCAGAGAGTGATTCCTGCAGTGGTCTGAACAGTCACTAGTGCCCATGGAGTGAGCAGCTGCCCCTCAGAGCACCAAGAGTGGGCTGGGACCAGGGAAGCCTCCAACGCCAGCCAGGAACACTGGCATTGGGATGAGAGGACGACACTGGAAGCATAGCCAACACTTGCTACAGAGTCATCATACTTCCATTTAGTGTTTCTCTAATACTCCTTTTAACCACACAAATTTAAATACTAAAATCTTTTCTGTTTTGCCAGATAGTTATATAACCAACAGGGGTTGAGAATGGATGCAGGGCTTTGTTCGATTACGTACCGAGGTCTGCGACATGCTTGACTGCTGAGTGACACTCCCAGGGGGGGAAGTACATTGCCTCCCACCTGACAGGCTTGCCTAGATAGCAAGAATATGCGTCAAATACCGAAATCAAAAAGTGTTTAAGCGATGTTCACATTATTGCACAAACCACCAAAAACACCCCTCTCTAACATTACCCTCTCTCTGAGTTAGCAGCAAAACTGCTCAACTCAGTGGAATTAGATTTCAAAGTGCACTCCAAGCTCTGAACTGGAATCTGCAAGGTGTCAAATGCCTTGAATTCCTTCCAGCTTTCAGGCACTCAGACTCTCACAGACCAAGACCTGAACAATAACTATCAGAGGTAACGCCCATCAAACTGTTAATGATGGAGCTACCTGACCAGCTCATCACCTACGGTGCTCGGAACTTAGAATGTGACATCATTAAAACTGTCATTATAAACTGTCACATTGTAATTTTTATTATGATTAGAATAATCTAAAATTAAACTTCATAAATGCTGCGAGGAACATCCTCACTTCCTCTAGAATGACAGTTTATGTATGCACATCAAGTGTGTATACCAGTACGCTATTCCAGACCTTCAGATGAATACAGGGACAGTGATTTAGATGTATATATTAATAGACTGCATGACAGAACTTCTTAGGCTTGCCCAATCTGATTCTCTTCGCTCTATCTCAGTAGCAGTATAGGCACAAATCCATCACAAAAAAAAATAAGTCAATATATTATCATGATCTAATGGAAAAGGTACAGAAGCAGAAGCCAGGAGCATAGAAGAGTCCATCCTAGTTCTGACAACAAACAGCTGTATCTATCCCTGAAGTTTTTACCTCTGTTTTAGCATTTCTACATATAAAAATATTAACTGCCACCTATCCCTGCAAGACAGTACTCTCAATCCACAGTCAACTTAGGTCAAAGGAAGTCTTTCCACTGCTTGTGTTTTCACAATGGGTCTAACTCTGGTGTTCCTTTTGTGTCAAAAGCTTTGCTTCAGAAGTGAAACACAGCATTGTCATTTACCTCCTACATTGCTGCAGTTGGAGTTAAAACTGAATGTTGCCATTATTTATAATGCAGCCAGACATGTGGCAAGACACACTAAAATACCAGATGTTGACTACCTGAGTTTGATTTCACTAAGATGCATGGCTATTCATTTGTTTCCCCATCAACCTTCAGACAAATTCATGGGATGAAGACTGAAGTAGTCTATTTTTAATATATACATTTTTTCCTGTTTGATGATTTACATGATGCATTATAATGTATGCAGTTAAGCATGGAATGGACGCCTATTGGAGCATCTATAACACCTACTGGAGCATCTAGAACAAAATCCTCCAAACAGTTTGGAGGAAGATACAATTTAAAAGAACAAAGTCATTAAAATATAACAGCGAATCATTGTGAGACACTGAAAGCTCAGGCACTTAAGCTGTTATGTTTGACAATGCTCTAGAACTGTAGTTCTACTCCAGAAAGTAGCAAACCACTATTTTTCAGCAATCTTCGCTCTCACCTGTGGTACAGTTGCCAGACTCTGAAATTGGGTACTGCTTAAGTGCTGCTGCTGCAAAGCAGCAGTCTGCAGCATTAGATGCTGCTGTTGGGCTGCATACATCTGCTGGAGGTACTGAGCAGCTGAGCTAGGAGGACGGTGCAAGGCCTGCTGAATAACCTGTGATGAATCAGTAGGTAATTAATCACAATTACAAAGTACACACCATACTGACATGATGCTGAAGTTTACCTTTACAAGGAAACAAAACCAAATACATCCGTTTCACACCAACTGTATAATACCGAACTTACTCCACCACCACTTTTCTCAACAAAGGTACCAAATATAGGTACAGCATTTTTCATAACACTACATCCACGGCTCTTAGGCTCTCACCATCATACCCTACGTGATATTCTATTTTTTTTGAAAGATCAGGACAGCGCACGAGGCTCATTTATCAAACCCAATGGAGCGGGCTGTACAAACTTCCTGGTAATCTTATTTGAAGAACAGCAAAATGGGGAGGGATCCAAGAAGCAGTTACACACAAAGATACCTCTGGATCCCTCTAGTCAATGGTGGTAAAGCAAACAGCTTTTTGTGTTACTTTGTAAAATTTTATGTTCATAATCCATACCCTTGGGGAATGGTGAAAAATCAAGTTTTCCAATAGCATTTCTCTCCCGTTATTTGGAAGGCAGGCCTGCACACTGCACTACTCTTAAGTGGTCTGATATCTATACTATGAACAGTATCTTATGAAAATCAGTAAGTTAGATATTGAGAAAGAAGACAGCAATTAAGAATGGAAAGTTAATTTTGGGTAAAGCATTGTGCAACGCATGTATTTGAGGGGAAATAGCATCTGATGGCCCGGTACCTGGACGGCATGCCTGTCAGAGCCACTGTAGACAGATATCTGCGGGAGCGGGGTCCGGGACGTGGAGGTGGTAGTGATAGTAGTCGTAGATGCAGAACACGTCGTTGTGTTGGGTTCATTCTCCATAGCTGTGCAGTGTTCGTCCAGCCTGGCGGGACTGAAATTGAAATGAAAGCAGTTCACAAAGAGAAGAGCAGCACATATTTTAAAGGAGATTTTAAAGATTTTAAAGGAGAAAATCTAAGCCTCTCTGAGATACACTAATGGACAGTTGCAAATGGATAGGTTCATAGTGTTTGCTATTACTTGATGTGATTTGTGGACAGACGTGGTTATGAAATTCTAAGATGCATCAAGAGTAGCAATAGGTGGCAATTTAGGAATGCACACAGAACTTCCCACAAGCTGCACAGGAATACTGCCACATCCCTCTTCCCCATGGCACAGCGCAGGAGCCACCGGCTGTCCATGCTGCACATTCAGCAAAACATTTTCTAGCCAAACATCACTGGAAACATGTTCCATTTGGAAAAAGAACAAAAAGCTGCAGAGAAAATGCTTTAATTTCTACAGCAATGCCTCCCCAAAAACAGCCACAGTTATGGAAAAAACTACCTAAAAGAATCTCCAAGGATTTTTTCCCTACAAGACTTCCTTCTGCTGCAGAGTATAACCTCTCTCCAAAAACATTGTCATTAAAACTTCAATGAAACCTGTTTCTCTACACATGAGCGTTGTTTATCTTAGTTTCCTTTTCAGTTTTAGTATTATGATTAAGAGAACATAGCAGCTGTTTATTGCTTTTCAAAGAATGCTTTAAAAAAGCAGGTGGAGAGAAGAATTTCCTTCTTACAATAAGGAAGGACTCAGAAAAATGATCATTTCGAGAGCTGCGATGTACTAGGAAAAAAAAAAAAAAGCAGCAGCATTGGCAAGTCCCCAGCAAAATGCCCATCAGGTGCTGCATCAAACAGGAACATAATAAGGAGTTTCAGCTCACGCTGCTGAAAGCAGAACGCAGCGCTGCTGATCTGCTACCTTCCTCTCTGAAAACACAACTACTTTGCAAGAAGAGAACTTACAAATCAGCATCCTCTACCCAGAAAAAAACCTTCAGGCTGACTTGTGCTGCACACGATGCCATAGGTCCTGATTACTTGGAATACATAAACTTTAAGAGGTACATGGTCCCCTAGGGGCTTTGTGCCCCGTCACTGTGTTGATATCTCCTATCTTTTTGCCATCACAGACAATTTGTGGCAATAAAGCTTGCTTTCAAAGCACAGATCCTACTATCAGAAATTAAAAAAAGTATGGCTTTGTTGGTAAAAAAAAATCAGATCTGATGTGTGTTATAATGCCATTTATCTACCTACAGGAGAACAAAAGTTAGCACTGATGCATTAACCACTTCAGTTACAATGAAAACAGCATCACTTCTAAAATCACTTTACATTAATTTCACGTACTGCTAATGAAAAGGACCTTGAAAAAAGTCTCCTCCAGAGAGCATTAAATGCACAACAAAATATTTACACCTAAGACTCGTCTAGCTTGTTTGAGCAGTTACACAACTGCTTAAATTAGCCTAAGAAAAATAACATTGCACGGTTAATTTTCTTAGTTCTCAGCCACATTTAAGAGTTATCAGTGAGATATGCAACGCGTCTCACTGCACCAACTGAATCAGAAGTCGGTAATTCAATGCGAGCTGATAATTCTTTAGCTAAGTGCCTTGTTTTCAAAATTTTTGATCGGCATGGCCTGGTACTGACGGGCATCTCCAGCCCTCCTCTAGCACGTCTGACCCCAAATCAATTAGAGATTATGCACGAGGCTTACTTGCCACCCCTCAGGTCTTATCGCAATATAAAGAGAGAAGAGTTGCAGCAGGCAGCAGTGACACGCAGAAATACCATGCCCTCTGTTGGCTGAAAGCACAGGAAGGTGCTTCAACAGATGACACTTGTTAGAAAACCTCTCCTCACTTGGAGTGAAAAGCCGGTTGTTTAAAGGAAAAGAGAAAATACATAAAACGAGGGTTATTTTTTAGCAAGATGACCCTGAATCCATTAACAATGTGGCAGATGGATAGATGGATCTTTTATAGCAGAAAGCATGAATGCCACTACAGAACGTGAATCTGTCTTTACAGCATCGTAAAGGAGATCAGGGCAACACCGCATATGTAACTAGACCCCATTTAGTTATAAAAAACACGTCTCAGATACAATTAAAAATAGTCTTCTAAAATTTTTGTTAACTACTTAACATCAAAAAAGCAAAACTCCCAATTTACGGTGCAAATAAATTTGGTAAGTGAACAGGGGCTGGACTGCGACATTGCATGTGAGCAATATCACCTCAAAAGGACCTCTCTGATGGGCAAGTTTTAGAAAACGCACAAACTCTGAACAACCGCCGTATGTTTAAAAGTGGACTCAAAATATAAAACACAACAGAAAACTGCATTTAAAAGAAGCATTTATTTGAATAGAGACAGTCTTAGACACCACATCGTTTCAAATTATACCGTGCATGATGTAAATATTTAGAGGTTTTTGTTCTTGCTGTTCTGAGAGTTAAAGAACAGTTTTGGTCAAAATAAAAATCCAAAGTAAGGTCCCAAAAATCTGCTGTTTTACACCAGTAACGTTGGACTACCAGCACGGCACATCCTGTGCATGCACACACACGGCATGTCGCTGGTCATGTTTGAGAAACTTTGATTTTCTGTAGTGACATGGTAAAAGCAAACACTACTGGCACTCTGCAACCCATAATTGGTATTTGGAAATTGGTATTTAAGTGTTTAAACCATTTATTTACTCAGTCCGCTCATCACCTCCCGTCAAACTCCCACGCGCACAAGACACAGAAAATAAACATAAATCTTCCACAAGCCTAACCCCTGAGGGGATTTCGGCATAAACCCCAAACACACACACCCCCGGCACGCCGCCCCGACAGTTACACGGGGTTCGGGCTCTATTTTTCAGCCAAAACACGGGTTTTTTGAGAGCCGCGCGAACGCAGCCCCCGCCCCACGGCGCTGAGGGACCCCAGGGCTGCCGGGCAGGCAGGGCCCCTCGCCCGCCTCAGGACGAGCCCCGAGGACCCCCAGCCCCCGGAGCCGAGCCCGGGGCCTCCCCCAGCCCCGAGCTGAGGCCCCGCGGCTCTCCTCCACCCTCAGCCCCGGGGAGGAAGGGGCGTGAGGGGGGCTGAGGAGCCTCCCGCAGCCAGGGTGCAGCCAGGGCGCTGCCGGGGCGCTGTCAGGGCGCCGGTCCCCGCCTCCGCGCCCCGCCCCGCCGCGGTTTGGCCGGGCCCCGCCGCTGCCGCTCCCCCTCCTCCTCCGCGCGTCCCGCCGGGAGACTCGCCTCGGCCCAGCCGCCTCACTCCGCTTCCGCCATCTTGTCACCTCCCTCCCGGGGAGGCGCTGCGCAGGCGCGCTGGGCGCCGCCGCCAGGTGACGCCGCCCGCCGCCATCTTGGGGCTTCGTGTGGCGGGGCTGAGGGGCGGGGGGCTGCTGCCCGAGGGCTTCTTCAGTAAACGGGGTGTTAATAAATCTGTGGGATTAGCTGTAAGACGTGTGTTTTGAGGGGGCTGTGTGAAGGTTAAAGGAAGGAAAGGGCCTGACCCGAGGGCTTTTCTATGTTAGTTGTTCAAAGACTCCCAAACGGGAGGTGGTGGTGAGCACCTGAAGTCTCAGGAATATGAAACTGAAGGGAGTTTTAGATCAGTTAACCTAGCTTCCAGTTCTTCCTGCAACATATTGGTTCTAAGCCTCTCTCTGCTAAGGGGATGACAGCTTCTTCCTTGGAACTGACCGTAATTGAGCAGAGTTGAATTACACCATTACTTAAGCCTAGGTGGTAGTGGCTGCTTTGCACTACCTGGCATAGAAGAGCAAAGCCCAGCCTCCACGCCAACAATTAGCCACTGTACCGCATAAAGTTAACTCAAATCTTGCATGGGGTATCCTGACAAACACAGTACCTCTCCTTCTGTCTGTCATGAAACGTTTTCCTCTTTGTGATGGAAATCTTAGAGATCTTGTAGGAAACTTAAAAATGTTGAAAGTTGTAGAGCAAGGAATTGTTAAGATACAGCAAGGTATTTCCTGCTGCGTGAAATTGATGCAAGACTGTTTGGAAACTGGGTGGAGCAAGGAAGTTTCTCCTGAGGAGGAAAAATACCTGCTGCAGGAAGGCCAGGTAGCAAGGCAAAAAGTTTTGTGCTTCGTAACCTCTTGCAAGGAAAACAGCACATGGGGCCTTAAGTTACTTTATCATCAAAGAGAGAAAAAACAAAACAAAACAAAAAAAACAGAGCAAGGTGCACGATTGGAATGTGCAGGTCTCGTGTAGCAGCCGCACGAAGCGGCTGAACGCCGCGCTGCTTTAACAAACAGCCGGGAACGGTGCCGATTACAGCAAGGAGGTAGTGAGGAAAAAAGGAAGTGTTTGTACTCTATCAGAAAAAAAAACACAACAAAGGTTAGGTTACCTATTCTTCAGGATTCCCAGAAGCGTCAAGGAAGTGCAGGGCAAAATAAATACACGTTATCAACGACGCTACCAACGCGTTGTTAAACAGGGAAATCCTAAAAGAACCTATTTAGGGTTAGCAGTTCTGATAAAATACCTTTCCTTAAATCCTAAACATTCCATTCCTTTTAGTTAGGGAGCACCCTTTGTGTTTTTTTTTAAAGAAAACCACAAACCGCCACACCGGCTCTAGAAGCCCGTGCTCGCTCCCGCGCAGCCGCGGGGCCGCCCCCTGCCCGGCAGCCGCTGCGCGCTCCCGGCGGGCCGTACCAAGCGGCGGGGACACCGAGAGGGGGATCCCTCGTGCCCCGCCCTCCCCTCTCCCTCACGGGGGTGCGGGCGCCTCTTGGCCTCCTCCATTCTCCCCCCCCTCTTTTTCCTCCCCGCAGTGGTTCCGCCCGGCCTGGGCGGGCTGAGGGCCGGCGGGGGGCGCGCGGCCGCCGCCTCCTCCTCGTAGCGCGGCCCCGGCCCCGGCCGCCGCCGCCGCCCCGGGGATGCCGACACAGCGGGACGGCAGCGGCACCATGACGGCTCCGGGCGGCGGAGGGGGCGGCCTGGGCGGGGACGGAGGCCACCAGGTCCGCGTGAAAGCCTACTACAAGGGGTGAGTGAGGCGGCGGCGGGGCCGGGGGCCCGCGCGGTGCCTCCCCGGTGCCTCCCCTCACGGCCAGGTTTCTCCTCACGGCCGTGCCCGCGCTGCCCCCCCCCCCCCCCGCGGGGCTCTCGGTGCCACAGCCGGGGAAAATGAGGAAAAAAATAGGGGTTTTGGGGCCGGGAGCTGCGTGTGGGGATCTGTTCGGGGCTGAAGGAGGAGAGTTGGGCTGAAAACCTGCCCTGTAGGGTCCTGGGGTGCTCCCCGGGGTTTCTGAGGGAGCCGAGTGGCAGCGAGGTGCTGGGGGCCTGCAGGGGGAGAGGCTGGGTGCTGCTGTCCTGCAGCAGCGTGTAACGACACATATAATCTGATATAATATGGTATAAAGGGTGCCCTGCTGGGGGTGCGCAGCGCCCTGTTGGGCACCGACAGTTAGAGGAGCCGGCCTGAAAAGTCTGAGAGCAAGGTTCGTGGGGCTGTGGAGGTGGGTGGGAGGTGATCTCATCAGAAAACAACGCAGGTTGTGTTTTTGGGTTCGGATGGAGCTCCAGGCACTCTCAACAGCTTCCTTCCAGTTACCTGTGTTAAGTACGAGAAAAAACTTATATTTACGGTGCTCACTGCCTCATATCTATAGTCTTATAGTTTTAAGGAGCAGTATATGCCTTGTAAATGCCTTGCTGAGCACTTGGCATTTGCTAATGCCCTTTGTTTCTGGGCTGTGTCTGCTTTGGGGCTTTTCTTGGCAAAAGTGCTGTAGGATCTGTGTAAAAGTGGCATAATCTGTGGTTTTATGAGGTCTGTGAAATGCTTTCAAACTAATAGTACGTGAAACTCTCTGCTCTTTTACAGTCCCTTTAATGCCCCATTTCTTAAAGGAGTGGAGATGGCCCTGGCCATTAGCTGACAGAAGCGTTCATTTGGGCAGGCAGTGAACTAAAGTGGAAACTGCTCTGGATTAAAACCATTTATTTTTCTTCTGCTGGGTCAGTTTTAATCTTGATCACTTCCACATGCAATCATTTGACTTCTTGCTTTAGTGCTGGGAGGCTGTGGCGCAAGAAGAGAGATAAAGCAGCCCAGGGTTGTGGGAGTGCAGAAGAAAACTGCTACATTGGAGAGGAATGCTGGCTCATGACACTTTAAATATTAGGTAGCAATTTCACAGGCGCTGGAATGTTTCCTTTGAGTTTCAACTGAGTTTCATCTGCTGACTTTTTAACTGTTAATGCAATTGTCAGTTTACTTTTAATAGTGGCACTGAATCATATGTGCAGTTGGTTAACCAACAAACTAACAGGCTGAATGCCTTTGTAATGATTCATTTCGAGGTCTAAACAAATTATTCTCTCTGCTCTCCTACAAAGCAAGTCTCATGCCCACTTCTCAAGCTAGTGTTATCAAGAAATGGATAGCAAAGGAAAACATTTTACTTGTGCTGGAATGACTTGAAGAATGAGGACCAAAATGCTGATATCAAAGGCAGCATTTTTGCTTTAATCAAATAAACCGTATCAAGATTAGAGCTGGATAGAGGATTTTTAGGGAAATAGTGTTAATTAGGAAATGTTAATCTCTCTTAACTTTTTTTCTGATAGAAGCCTTTAAACGGGATGTAGAAGTTACAGTGAAAGTCTCGCTTGGAAGGTCTTTTCAACTTCCACTCGCTGTATCTGGTCAAAGGAAAAAAAAGCAAGCTCCCCCCAAGAAAACCCCAGCCCAGCAAGTCAGAAGCCCGGGCTGGCTCTCAGAAGGTGGTGGTGGGGCTGCTCCTGCCAGCTCAAGGCTGAGTCCCAGCCCCAGAACATCACTCCGTCTGGCCAGGAGCCTAATTGCTTTTCTCAGCCTAGACAAAGGCTTTCATGAAGAGCTCTTTGAAGGGTCTTTGTTTCATTCAACTATGCAGTGGTAATTCTGTACCTTAAATTCATGCAATATGTAAAACCAGGAAGGAAAATTTTCCTAAAACAGATCATGAGAATAAGAGGATGGGAATTCCCAAACACTTGGGAATTGGGTTGAGTTTACCCTGATATTTCCTTCTCTCAGGTGAGCCACTCTTATCATAGAGTTAGTTTAAAAGGCTGAAAAAAGTCTTATCTGTTTTAAAGGGTTACTGTCATCAGGGCAGGGTCTGTGACAGAGGCTCCTGACTGAGCTGGTAGGAATTTATTATAACTAAAGTTTAGTGCTTTTTCATTGATAGAGTAACAATGTGTATCAGCTTCAAATGCGCAGTACTTACACACCCTCTGTAATTACAGCCATTTTAGGTGTCTAGTTATTTTTTAGAAGTTTATGTTTTTGCTCATCTCATTTGTTGTGGATGCTTTTTGTCAGTTCAGTACCAGAAGCTGTTACATCAGGGGAGGATTGCGTTGTAGTAGGTGAAAACAGGTAGGGGTGATAGGCTGCGTGTGCACTGTGAATTCTATAGAATTGATGTTAATTTAAAACAAAACAAAACAACAATCTTGTAGAACCATTTTCTGTCACAATTGGAACTGCTAGTTTTTTTTGTTTGTTTGTTTTTTTCAGTGGTTGACAGATCTTGCACTGCTTTAACTGCATAGGCTGTAATGTAGGTTAGACTTCTAGCGTAGTTAAAGGCATAGGATCCCAGTGCTTTACCCACAGACTGTTTGATTTATTTTGAATGAAAAATACTCCTGGCAGTCCTCTCGCAATACATGTTAAATTAGCTTCTTTTCTTAATTTTACATGAGTGGAATAAATGGTGGGAAAAAAAAAGAGTTCCATTTTAATTGCAAAATCAAAGTGCACCTTCATAGATATTTCCAGAAAATTGCTTTCAAAAGTTTTTGCTTTCTCACATCCTTTGTTTATATTATTCTTTGTCTTGAGAACTTTCTGGTCAGATTTTCATCTCGATGTCTTCTGTTGTCTGTTGAATATAAAGTTCTGCAGAGGAGAGTGTTCAGCTTTAAAAAGCTCTGGTTCAAGCCTATAAACATACAAACATGTAAACTCCTCCTTGCAGTTTCAACACTGATTTCATTTTGTAGCTGGCTGCTTTTTCTGGTGATGTATTTTTTTTTTTCCCCAGAAAAAACAACTGTGCAGGAGGCGGCAATTTCCATACCTCAGGCCTTTCCTGGAGAAAGAGAAAAGAGCCACTTAAATCGTGTAAGATCTGATAAGATCTTACTGCAAAGATACTGAAACAGCAGAATTCTCCAGGAGAATTCTTGCATGGGCTAATTTCAGTGAGCTAAAGCCTTAAGGACTGACATAGCTGTGTGATAAACATGTGGATGTGTAATTAATCTGTGACTAGATATCTCTGCATCCTCAGGTATATGGTATGAGGCTCCAGACAGAAAAATCTCCAGCAGTAGTCTCCCACAGAAGCTTGAGTTTAGAAGTAGAGAGTGAGATAGGTGTATTCAATTGCACTTAACTGTCAGCATTGTGTTTTTTTCTTTGTTGTTGCTAAAGGCTCTTGTGACTGCTGGATGATCTGTAAAAGAAAGGGCATGAGAAAAAAGCTGTTTGATCTTGGAGGAAAGGTGGGACTTGCATCAATACAGCTCTTTCCTAATGAACACAGCAAGTGTGGAAAGTGCCATAAAACGTGAAGGTGACAGCAGAGCTACTCTGGAAGCGAGACAGCTCAGGAGAAAGCGTCAGTGACACCACTATGGTTAAAATTGCAAAGTGAGCTTGTAGGAAGACCTGTAATCTTTCAGTTCCTGCATCATGTAAAGCTGCCTTCTCGTCTGTAGAAAAAAACGTGCAAGGTGTTGCTTGTAGCCTCTTGTTCATATTTACATTCCTCCTTTGGTTTAATATCGCTGTTGGCTAGGGTTCTGCAGAACGCGCTGACAAGTTGATGTTTGTTGGTGCAGGCTGGGTGCTTTTCCAGGTCTGTTCCTCAGCTCTCTGATACGTGTCCGACCGAAGGTAGCAGTGTAGTACTTTAGAGAATTAAATTCTAAAATAATAAACCCCTCTTCTATTTGAAGGGCAATTAGTTTTCCATTTGAAGGGCAACTGTTTTGCCACTTGAAGGCAACAAGTAGGAAGTGTTCATTCAATCTGGATCAGCTTTACTTCATCAATAAGGGAAGGGTTTTTGTTCCTAAGCTGTTCAACGCATCCTAGTATTGTGGATATGTGACATTTGCTGGTCATAGTAGCAATGTAGAGATAAATGTGTGGACCTGAAAAAAAATTCTACTGTTTTTAGTAATTTTTCTTTTAATTTTCAAGTTTTTGCTAGAGCAAAAAAAAACTTTCACTAGAGTGATTACTGCCTGTCAGGACTGTGGTCTGTTACCTGCCTCTTGTCTGCCTGTAGCAGTCATACAGTCACGCTGCTCAAACCTACCCTCTTCCATTGTGTACCAGTTCAATCACAAAATAAGCTGGAAAAGTTGAAATGTTCAGCTCTGACTTCTTAGTGCCCTGCAGAACGTAACCTTTTATTTAAGAAATAAATCTGTGCAGGGTGGGGAAATGAAGGTGAACCTCAGCTGCAAATCAGTGAAGTTGCTAAGCGGTGCGGTGCCTTATCTCCCTACAGAG